CATTAGGATCGAACGATCGGACCGCGGTGGTGCACGTGAGCAAAAAGGCGGCCTTCTTCGCGGAGGGCGCGTCTCGCGCGTGTCGGCTTACGCGCAGTTTAGTTTCTTTGCGTGCCAGCAGGCTGTTTCCGAACAGCGCTTCGTCGGTCGTTCTCCCTCGCACTCACGGCACTCCTCATGAACGACGAGAGTGAGGCAGACAGTCCACTGCCGTTCGGCTGCTCGCGCTGCTCGTCATGGCCGTCGAGGCCCTTATACCTCCCCGTCGAGGCCGGCGAATACAACACGGCTCATTGCAACGCCGCGGACCCAAGGCGCGCCGGGGGCGGCCAGGGGTCAACACGAGCCACACTTTGTAACGCAAAGCGCACTCGTGCGCCTTCTTATGCGCCTACTAATTCGTCGATAGGCTGCTCGCCTGGGAAGTACGTAAGCTCCGCCGCGCTGCGCCGCGCTGCGTGTCGAGGCGAAGAAGGCCGTTATCGTTGCGACAGTATGACGAGCAAGGTGCTATGGAAATCTCAACGACCCTCGTATGAATTTAGAGCTAAGCCAAAATTATGTTCTTCTGAATTGTTTATTTTGATGAGGATGTGTGGTGGCGTGCGCCGACGGCAAAGTCTCCACCGTGAGGCGCAACGCGGCGCAACGCGGCGCAACGCGTGGTGCATGCCGCCACCGCGCGCCAAAGTGGCGGGTTCGCGCCAACTGCTTCCCCGCCGCGCCAAGCCATCCGGCATCGCCGGCGTCGTCGTCGGCATGAGCGCACTAACTCGGCGCGCCGTCCAGCGCGCTTTCGGACTGCTCCTCGTTGGCACGCAACTGGTTAGCGGCGGCGTGCCGAGTGCCGAGGCATGCAACAGCTGGCGGCATGCGGGCGGCGGCAGGGGGCGGCGCGCACCCTCGGCGTTCCCACGCGCCACCCTCACCCCCTTCCACCACCCCCAGCCGCCACCGCGCGCCACCGCGCGCCGCATACCACCACACATGCAGCCGCGTGCGCCAGCCATGCAGCCAGCCATGCAGCCAGCCTGCTCAAGGTGCGGGAGGTCGCCGGGAGGTCAGCTAGGCGGCGTCCCCGATGCAAAGCGAGGCGAGGCCCTATCACACTACGCGGTGGGCGTCGCGGACCCCAGCGCCAACAGCCAACCCGATCGCTCGGGCACATCGCGCCCTCAAATTGGACTGTCTTCCTTTCGCGCCATTTTGTTCAAATCAGTTATTTCTTCGGTTTCGCTTGGAGTGCGCAGTCCGTTAGCACCCCTTCCCTCGCCCCACCCACCCAAGACCCACTGCCGAGCTGCCGAGCCCCCTGGCCCCCCGGCCCCGCGCGCACAAATTCCATAATACGAAAACACACACAAGACCAGCACACGCACACACAGACACACACACGCGCTGCCGCCCGCCTTTTCCTCATCCCTTCCTTCCTAGTGCAGTGTCATGTTGTGAGGGTTCGGCTCGGATCGTGGGAACGCAGCTGGTCCTGCAGGAGCACTTCAAGACGTGCGGGAGGGGGAAGGGGAGGAAGGGGGAGCCGCCGCAATCCAACCTCCACACTTCTTTTTTGTCCCCGGAGGGGTGCGGCGGCCGGTCGAGCGGGAGGGAGATAAGACGACGCAGCCAAGAAATAAAACGAGCAAGACGGAGAGCGAGAGCGCGCGAGAGAGCGAGAGAGAGGGAGAGAGAGCGCTCACAGTGGTAGCACGTGCGATCGCTTGTTGGCGGCCATTATATTTAAGTCCTCCTTTTTTCGTCGTTTCTTCTCCTCCGGGATATCTCCCACATGCATGATTTTTTTGGTGTCTTGAGACGATGGCCCTACGGGACAGAGAGAAAAAGGGGGGGGGGGCTGATTGCGAGGTGTGCGGGTGTACCGGGCGTCAAATGGCCGCACCGTTGCGAGATAAACAGCTCTCGAATCACATTCATATTCACTTTGTTATGTGCGTATCGGCTGAGCAAGAGCCAAGAATGAGCTATCAAATGGAAAGCGACAAAAACACAATTTTATTTTTCTGCTGAAACACCAAGCAAAGCCCGACAAAGCAGCAGTGTCCTTGCACTCGGTCTTTAGTCCGTCGAACGGTCAACAATAAATTTTGCAGAGCTGCCCCGCCGTGTCCCGCCCGTGCCGTCACCGCCGCCCGGCGCCGCATTTGGGGCCCTCGTCTCCGGCCATGATTTACTGTCACCCGGTCGCCATTTCGCCGAGGTGCCGAGGAAGCAGAAAGGTGTTTTGTAGGCGGCTTAGTGGCTGCAAAGCCCTTCCAGGTCCTACCATCCCGGCAGCCCGGCCAAGGACCCCGAGACAAAGTCCTCAAAGATGCCGCACCGCCGCCGTTGTCTCGTTTGCAGGAAGAAAGGCTGCGGCGAGCAGCAAACAGCAGCAAGTGCGAAAGTGCGCCGTCGAGTCAACAAAGGCCGTGAAATTGGCGCTCTGTAAATAAGTAGATAAGACGATCCAGGCGGCGACGCTCGGGCATACTGGCGTTGACGCGCGTTAGCGCCCACGCCGCGCCGGGCACCTAACCTGCAAACGAGGTGCGCGCAACCCGCTCGACGCACCAGCACCGTATTACGACATTAACACCGGAGACCAGTCATTAGATTCGGAGAGCCCCACTGCAGCGGGAGGAGGGGCGGGGGCACCGGGGGGCACTAGCAGCACACTCTGAGGACGGACCGGGACGGACGCCACCACCTGCTGCATTTTCCCACACCGGAGCCGCTGGCAGCCGCTGGCAGCCGCTGGCAGCCGGGCTGACGATCGGAGGAGGGGCGCGGAAGAAAGCAGAGTGGGTTGGCTGCTGGACGCGCTGCTGGACGCGCGCGGCTCGCATGCCCGGCCTCACTCCACTCGTTGGACGTCGTTCGACACATTGCGACTCGTTTTAAAAAGAAGTGCCGAGGTGGCTTCCATTTAAAAGTCGCTCATCGGACATGCGGCACACGTGCACCTTTATCGACGGCAGCCTTTGCAGTTTCTTTCTTTCCGTTTGTTGCCGTGCACCCGTTTAACCCACATCGGAGTGTTGATTCTGGTGGCGATGGTGCGGTGTGGTGCCCGATGTGGGGATAAGGCGCTTCCGCTCAGTGACACACGCCCCGTTCGCAGAAGCTCTGCCGCCCAATTGAGGAAGGGCCACAATTTGCGCGACTCAAACAGCGCCTTATCGACGCGCTTCCTCCGCTTGCGCGCAGGGGACTTGAACGCACCTCGGGCCACTCCGATTTTATTTCACGAGCCAAAGTCCCGGCAGGGCGATTCGGCGTGCCGTTTCCGAGATTTGCACGGCTCTGCGCGAGTCGCGAGTCGGTCGTAGGGCATTTTAATGACCGCCGCGATGGCGCTGCCGCGCTGCCCCAGGCGGTGGCCGCCAGCACGCCGCCAGCACGCCGCCAGCGGGCAGTGGCCGCAGTGCCGCTCGGCGCGATCCGTTTTTGGCGCAGACCGATGACAAATCAAGACGACAACAGTTCGCGGGATCGCGGGGGGCGAGCAACCAGCCTCGTCCCCGCATCGACCGCAAGGCAGATAAAGTGTAGTATCGCCGTCTGCCGGTCCACGGCCGGTCCCGGTGGCCCGGTGGGCATTAGCGGATCACGGAAAGACGGACGGACCGGCAGCCAGGCAGTGTAGCGCCGCTAGAGGACAGGTCAGTCAAATGGGGCCTCGGACATGGCGCACGGCGGCAGCAACGAGAGGGTGCCTGCAGGGTGCCTGCAGGCCGGGCTGCCGGCAGTGCCCCGTCAAGTGCGACACCGACAGTGTCAGGCGGACGGCGTCACCAATCACTCCAACGAAAGCGAAACAGTCTGACTGACCGATTACTATCGCCACCGCCCGTCTCTTTCTCATTTCTCCGAATTTCCGTTTCCAGCAGACACGCGCGACACGCTGGAGCCGCCCTGGAGCCTGGCCGCGACACGCTGGAAAAGCCGCCACGCCCTGCCGCGCCACGCGCTCTTACGCCCTGGGCCGCGAGCCGCCGCGAGCCGCGCACGGCACAAGTAACTCATCCCGGCGCGAGCCGCAGTCTCCGTCTCTCTCGCTCCGGCGCGCGACGGGCGCGAGGCGAGGCGCGAGTCAACCACACGCTGCGCCGTGCGCCCCGGCACCGCCCCGCCTCGCCCCGCCGCTCGATCCGTGAGAACGCGCCGTCAGATAGGAGGGGCGGGGCGCGGCGGGGCGGTAGCAGATGGCCCTCCGAGTGTGGGAATCCTGCGCGTGGTTGGAGTGTGTCCAGGAACGTACGCCGTACGCGATACCCCCTCCCGAACTCCCGGACGCCGACACTGTGTCCGTCTCTCTTTCTCTCTCTCTCTCTCTCCGCCGTCTCCAATGCGTTTCCTCCAAAAAGTGAATAAGCGCGCGCCGCCGGGAGACTGCCGGGAGCACAGCGAGGATGAGGCGCAAAGAGGCACGGAGAAGAGAGAGAAGCATGGGCCGCGTGCTGGGCAAGAGAGAGACGGAGCGCGCAGGCGCATTGACTGCGCGTGTCTCGCCTGCGGCGAGCATCGCTCTCCAGTGTGCGGGAGAGAGAGGCATCCGTCCGGGCGGTGGCTGAAGAGAGACAGCCATCCTCCCTGAAGGCGTCGCCGGCGTGGCCGGTCTCGCTGTGGCAGGGCTAAGGACAGCCCGGCCAGGAGCACGCCGTCGACTACCGTCGTCTTCGCCTCCCCCCTCGTCCAAAGAAAAGAGGTCTGGCAGGCCACGCCAGGCAAGAAGCAGCTGCCCGCCCTGCCGGCCCCGCGCCGCCCCCTCCCCGCACACAGGTGGCTGGCTGGCATGGGAACGTGGGCTCGGGAGTGTTTCCCACGATCCGACGGTGCCCGGGCTGGGCCGGGGGCTGGGCGGGGTGGGGACGGGCGCGGGGAGCGCGCGGGGAGGGTGGCGGGTGTGCAGGCACGCTGCGCGCTGCCCGCGCTGCGCTGCGGCAGGCCCGGCTCGACGCGGCTCGGCGCGCCCGGCGAGCCAGCACAGTCTCCCCACCGTCCCCCTCCTCACCTGGGCTCCCTTATTTAAGCGCTCGCCTCCCCTCCCTGGCCATCATTCCAAGTCGAGCTCTTGCCGAGTGCACGTCGTGCCTTCCCTCGTGGTCTCTCCTCTGCTCTCGCAGCGAGTCGTCGTCTGCTCCGCTCTCTTGGATTACTCACCGAGTTCCTCGTGTGTGTTGTGCCCTGCAGTGAAGTGCAAGTGTAGTGCTGTGCCTACTCTTCTTCCTCGTTCGCCAAATCTTCAAACATGCTGAACGAACAAGCAATGTCTCCCGTCGATGTCGACATGGACCAGGTCCAGCCCATCTCCAGGACTTACCAATACAGAAAGGTAAATATCGTTTAGTACTGAGCTCACTGTCTTGTGTCATCAGCCCTTAAAGTTTGCTGGTCTTAACGTGCCTTAACGCGCCTTAATTATCCATACACGCTACAAAGTATCTTCAAAACAAACTCCCTCGTTCCTTCTGCTTGCCATTTAAACGGTCGTCTAACCAGATTCTTCTTTCGTTTTCCTCAGGTCATGAAACCAATGCTTGAACGCAAACGCCGCGCCCGCATCAACCGCTGCCTGGACGAGCTCAAGGACCTGATGGTCGGCGCCCTGGCCGCTGAAGGCGAGAACGTGAGCAAGCTGGAGAAGGCCGACATTCTGGAGCTGACTGTGCGCCACCTCCACCGCCTGCGCCGCGAGCAGCGCCTTGCCGCCAACCCCGTGACGGACGCCGACCGCTTCCGCGCCGGCTTCACCCACTGCGCCACCGAGGTGTCCCGCTGCCTGGCCGCCACCGCCGGCGTCGACGTCCAGCTCGGCACCAAGCTCATGACCCACCTGGGACACCGCCTCAACGAGATGGACAAGTTGGCGCCGCTCAGTGTGCAGGTCTCCGCCACCGGCTCCACCACCACCAGCACCTCCTCGCCCCCTGCCTCACCGGCGTCCTCCTGCCCGTCACCGGCCCCCCAGGAGTACGCCATGCCGCTGACGCCCGCCTCCTCGCGCAACTCCGCCTCGCCGCGCGCCGCCTCCCCGGTGTCCGCCCCCATGACCGCCTCCAGCCACGACATGGAGTACACCAGCGGACTCCTCAAGGTGGTCGACTACTCCGTCAAGAAGCCCGTCGTCGTCGACTCCATGTGGCGGCCCTGGTAAACAGTGCCTTCAGTGTTATCACCATGTGCCTTATGAAAGAAAAATGTTCATGTTGAGTCATGTAGAGTAAGGCGTGTTTATGACAGTACTGATTTTGGGCTGGTTATACCACTGTCTTTTAAGCCTTTGTAAAATGTTGCTAATTTGTCAACATGATTCTCAGTTAAATATTGGTACAATTAGAAGTTAAAGTGTAGAGTCACTTAATCCAGATCTCATTTATTGAATCAATTTTTGTAGAGGGAAAGACTCAGTAGTTTTTTTTTTTGTGAGAGTGTTAATTATGGATCTCAATTCTTTAATTTGTAAGAGGGCTCAAGCTTTAATTAGGTTAGGTAATTTTCAATTCCTGCTGATTGCATTTGATGTCTGAGAAATGATTGTTCAGAATTTTGAAGGAATTGTCAATTGTGATTGTTATGCTGTACCTGTGATAAATCATTTAATGATGTTTCAAGCTTTCGCAAAATTATATACGATGTTTGTGTTGTATTGCAAGCATATCTGTGATACATCAACATTTCAATATTTTTAATTAAAATTTGAAATTCAATCTTACCATTCTCTTATCATTTCCCTTTCCTTCCAAAAATGAAAAATGATAAAATGAAAGAAAAGCACACATGAAAAAAGAGACAAGGAAAAGAAAATCTGGAAAACTGAATCACTAACCAAAAACACAAAAAAAAAGAAAAGAAGAAATAGAGAAACAGAGTAGTTGAGATGAAACAATTTGAAAATATTGGAAGCGGCGCCTCGCTTGAACGACAAGTTACAAAAGTAGAAAATTACAAGTTGTTGCAACAGGTTGAAGGCGCCACTTCCGAGAGTGCGGCTGGGAGTGTGGCCGTGTACTAGATACGCGCGCTCGGCGGCAGTAGGCGGCAGCCGCAAGGGACTTCCACGTCCGCGGCGCGCGGCGCCACTAGGTGCGCCATCTGTTGAGCTTCGGACGTACTTCGGCGCGAGCGCAGTGGCCGCCGGCAGTAGTCCGACCACCCGCCGCCAGAGCGCGCTAGTTGATCGCTGATACTCAAATCGGAAAATGTGGTAGAGCTCTAAGCAGTGCCCGCGTGTACGCGCAAGATTATACATCGTTGTTTAATTTTTGAAATTTAATGTGGAAAGCCGTAGTTTGGGTCTGAGGCGCCCCGCCCGCACGACCTGCTCCATTCTCCTCCAGTCGCGCATAGGCAACCCGCTTAGCCGGACGTAGGCAAACGGGCTGTCGGAGACCACAACCGCGTCAGGTTGACTCGTTTCTCGCTTAAGTTTTGGTCGCGGGAGTGTTGACAGATTGTTTAGCCTGATTGGCCAATGCCAATACAGGGCAATGAGAAAAGCACTCCACGGCGGTACACCTGAGAGATACGATGACAAGGGAAAGTCTCTGGCCAATCGCGATAAGCGTGTCCTACAGTGATTCCTCGACTGTTGTGCGAGGTGGAAGTCAGTGGAATCCAAGCGCGACCACCATGGCGTCTTTGTTGTTCGCGCTTCTCGTGGTCTCGGCGGCACTGCAAGGTACGAACGGTGCGCATTCATATGTACGAGCACGGCTGCGTCTGTTTCGAAAATGGAATCGATTAGGACTCCGGCAATTCGTTGTTTACAGTGTGGGCGTCGCCGCCGCCGTCTGGAGCGGGCCTCTTCATTGTAGATGGCAACACAGCTCTGCAAGGTAACGAGCGCTTTCAGCAGGCCGCCGATTCGGCAAGACTCAGGGACACGAGACGTGCTGCATGATTCGAAACTGCATTTTCAGGTCAGTTCCCCTACCAGGTGTCAGTACGCCGCCTGGAGTGGGGCTCCTGGAGACACCGGTGCGGGGGGTCCATCGTGACCGCGGACTGGGTGCTGACCGCGGCGTCGTGCGTCGAGGGCGCGTGGTTCCTCAGGGCAAGTGTTGAGTCATAGAGCGCCGGCAGGGTAGGCAGCCCAACGCGCTGGACAGGACATAGCCCCCGGAGTGGAGCGCGTTGGGCTGCCTACCCTGCCGGCGCTCAGCGACCACACAGTGTGGTCGCTTCCGCTGTCTAGTCGAACGCAAAGCAACCTCTCGTTACCTCTCGTAACCTAAATTTGCAACTGTTTATAGGTAGCCGCTGGGAAGAGTAACTTGCGAATCACGGAAGACGGCGAACAGGTGGTGAAGATCTCCAAGACGGTTGTGCACCCTGATTTCAAGAAGCTCGAGTGAGAACACTTTGTCTGCCTAACTCTCTCCGTCTACTGACACACTGACACGGCCTGATCGGTGAGTTGCTTTGTGCGCAGAAGCAGGACGTGGGAGAACGACGTCGCGATGTTGCGGACCAAAACCCCCTTCACGTTCTCAGACTACGTGCGGCCGGCGCGGCTCCCGCTGACGGAGTACACCACGGAAGGTGAGCGAGGAGGGAAGTCCCTGCATGCCTGGTGCCATGGTCCCACGAAGGGATCTCTCTGACTAAAGCTTGTTGTCCTTGTTGGCGTTCAAGGCGGCGCCCTGATCGTCACCGGCTGGGGAGTGTCTTCCCCCGGCGGCTGGTTCAACTGGGGGCGGAGGAAGCCGGACGCCCTCCAGGTCACCGTGGTCCAGACGACGCGCTGCCCCGCCCCGCCGGTCCGCCACGGCCAGTCCCAGCCCCAGCCCCAGCCGCCCCAGCCCCGCGCGCTGTGCGTCGCGCCAGGGTCAACTCCGTGCGAGGTCAGTTCAGAAGCCAGTGGAGAGTCGTCTTCGAATACCAGCATCTCAATTTTCTTTTCGACTTGTTGCTGTCTTTTGGGTGACGGTTTGAGGCCATCAGAGCGGAGCCGTGTAGAACAGTCCCACACGTCGGGGGTTCAACTCCTAACAAATATTAACTATTAATTTTACTGCCTCGCCCAGTGTGGTTGAAACCCGTGACTTCAGCCGTTCGTTCGTGTGTGCCGTGGTGGTCTAAGGAGTAGAGGCGTCGCTTCCATGTGCTGGGGTCGGCGGTTCGACTCCCCAATTTTCTTGCGAAATTTTGACCGGGTCGGTCCATTCCTGTCGCGTCAAGAACCCACCTCACGCCGCTCCACTCGGCATCGGCCGTGGTGGCCGAGCGGCAAAAGGCGCGCGGACCCGGGGGGTCCTGGGATCGAATCCCATCATTTCACTACATTTTTCGACTGGCTTCCTCCCACTGCAACTCAAACCCGCCGTCCAACACGCGGCCAGACGTACAAGCTTCATAGCGTAGTGGTCAGAGTCACATTCACCTGGCCACCCCGCTGGGGTGACTAAAAAGCAATCCGCTTCGGCGGGTTGGCCTCGGCACTGGAGCGACGGAGTATTCGATCCGTCAATCCAGCAACCCGTAATTGGTCGCGGGTGGGTCCTCCTTGATTCGTCGTCGTCCCTTCAAAAAAATCTCATTCAACGAACGTTAATGAAAGCAACTCGTTTGGTTTTCTTCCAGGTAGTAGTTCGGGATTATTCATAATTGTGTATGAAATGAAATAGATAGCCCAATAAAATACCAGGTGGGTCACGGACCCCGTGTGAAATGGTTACTATGCAACCCGCTCGGAGCCCTGCATCCGGGCTTGCCTATGAGGCAGTCGGCGTGCGAACGGGAGGACTAGGGGTGCCACCCGTCTTGCCCAGCCCCAGTTGTCGTTCCGCGAACACCTCGCGCCCTCCGCGAGGGCAGTCCGCGGATTCCGCGAGTCCTGCCGCGGGTTTCGCGAGTCCTCACGGGCGTTCCTTGTCCTCGCGGCCTGCCCTCGCGAAACCCGTGAAAGGACTTGCGAAGTCCGCGAGAGGACTCGCGAGACCCGCGGCGGACTGCCCTCGCGGAGGCCGCGAGGTGTCCGCGGAACGACAACTGGGGCTGGGCAAGACGGGTGGCACCCCTAGTCCTCCCGTTCGCCCGCCGACTGCCGCATAGGCAAGCCCGAATGCAGGGCTCCGAGCGGGTTGCATAGTAACCATTTCACACGGGGTCCGTGACCCACCTGGTACATAGACCTAAGCGAGCTGGACAGTGTTGGTGCGAGCCGAGCTGTGGCATGCACCGCCGCGCCGTGCCCCGAGCGCGCTGGGCCGAGCCGTGAGGCATTGTTGCTGCTCTGTGCGCTGTACCGGGGAGGGACTGTGCAAGAGGGGGTAGGGCATTGTTGGCCGGTGCCGCTCGCGCTGTACCCGGAGGAGGAGTTGTCGATGCGTCGCGCAGGCTGAGCTTCACCCATTCACTCACCAGCCCGCCCCGGCAGCCAGCCCCCATTATTGTTAGGATACAGCCTTGGTTTCTGGACTCTCGAGTAAAAGCTAGCTGACACCTTTAAGTGTTTTATATTGTTCTAGGTACGTTTTAAAGTACTAAAGGTATCATCTGCTAAAAACGCACCATGTTCCAGGACGGTCCTGGAAGATTTGCCATTTCCTCCAGGACTGTCCTGGAAACGGGCCCTCCGTACAACCTTGAAGCCCTTCGGGCCTGGTTTTTCCAGGACGCGTTTTTACCGTGCAGTCTGCAGTGGTTTGTGATTGGCCGAAAGTGACACACTCCTTGTCCAGGGCGACGAGGGAGGTGCTCTGGTGGAGATGCTGGCCGACAACACGTTCACAGTCGTCGCCATGGTGACCAGGACGCCGAAGAACTGCAAGAAACCGAAAGAGCCCAGTGCGGCCGTCAGCGTGTTCGACTTGCAGACATTTATTCAGGACACCATGGCATCGTATTAGTTGTTTTCAATTCAATTTTGTCAAAAACGAATATACGATTGATTCAACCCGATGCAGCCCGCTTATGCTTCCCTTGCCCCTCCCTTTACTCGTCCTGTGTCAGTCAGGCCGACTGGGCTGCGGAAGCGGACTATACCTCCTGCAGGTAGGCAACCCAACTGACACCAGCAGCGGGCGACAGCGGTCGCAGCGCCCGGCACGTGGGCAGCCCTAACGGCGGGGAACTCCAAGTGGTTGCCTGCCCGGCGGGCGATTGCGATTGCGATTGCGATTAACGGCTGGACCACAAGTGATCGTCTGCCTTTCGGGCCCGCCCTGTCATGTCGGTGATACACCAGCCCCGGCGCTCTCCAGCTCCAGAGCTCCAGCTGCTCCAGCAAGCTCCCAGCTCACCCAGCTCCCACACCCTGGCCGCGCGGGACAGTGGCGACTCTAGCGGCGTACACGAGAACCACAGAGGCGGGAAAGTAGGATGTTCTACGAAAGCAACGCTTTGAGGCATGTCGTCTTGTGGTGTGATCTGTGCCCATCTGCCAGTGACTCTTTTATTCACTCATTTCTGTTTTGTTGCCCCCGCTTTGAATGGACACTGTTCTCATTTTTTTTAAACATTGACTGCTCTAGTACATGCTGCAGTTGTGTCAACATCAATTTGAAGTCTCGTTGATTTGATTGGATTGTGTCACTTTAAATGAAAACAATGCAATAAGTCAACAAATATAGTTTATTTGCTTTGGGCTGACATGAGTAAATGAGTCTGCTTTCAGATGGTGATGAAATTGATGATAGTTAAAATCACATAACAGTCGATGTCCAAACGAACACTACCTCTATTTCTCAACTTTAACAAACAAGTTATAAATAGAGGCTAAGAGAGAGTGAAGATAAAACACAGTGATGTTCGATTACAGGCTTCATAAATCATACAGGCTTATGGAAAAACACCTGTGTTTACCTTGCTATATGAAAATGACTGATGGAAAATTGGAGTGCAGATTCCTTTCTGTCCAGCAGAAGGTTTCTCAAACACAAATTGTGACAACTTTCACATTTTTGCCGCTGAATAAGTTTCCGAAATAAGTGGAAGAATCAGTTCTAATACTTGGATGTAATTAATATTCAAAATGAACATCCTTCAACTATCTCAGAACTTAGAATGTGCTAATTTGGACGGATTAGGAATCCTGACAGTTGTTCAAACGGCACAGGAGAGGCAAATACAAAATGTAAATGAAAACAATGTGCAAGAATTCAGTGCAAACCTTCGGTTGACTACACACAAGGATGAAGTGTTCTGCTCAGAGTCACATCACTTCTGCTTATCCAGGTATTGAGGAATGTTACTAATGGAACAGAACTGAGAGACCTCTATGAAAATTTGGAAGAATAAACATTTTGCTTGAGATACGATCAGCTAAAGTGTCATCTTTGACTGACCCCCTGTACCACAAAGCAAAACATGAAGCTAACAAAATATAAAGTTAATTTAATAAAAATCAAGAAATACACAACAAAACAAAGAGACTTTGGTGCAGAAAATACTTTTAAAAACTTCTACATGGAAGAAGTTATTGGCACCTATATTCTGGATAAATTACTCTTGTACATAACTACTATCATAGTTGACAAAGAAAAAGAGCTAAAAAGTTCTAAAAACATCAAAATGTTCAATCTAAAAATGCAATGCATTAAATAAATATAGGACAGTTATGGTTTCATAGAGATTTAGTATTGTCCAATTTAAGACTCCTCTTATAAAAGACTCAATAAATATAACACAACATTATGTACATTAAAAATATAAAACAATTACTATACACCTATATCCATACCTATCACAACTTTCAGAGAAAATGGATAAAGGTACCCTTACAACAGAATGAGAAAGTCAGCAGCGACACCCACCCACCCCATCCCACCCCTTCTAACATAGTACACAGCACACGCACACATGCATACACACAAACAATGTTAAAATTTAGTAATGTTTGGTGACATTTTGACCTAAAATTCCAATATTAAAAACACACGAATGCTCAATAAATAATGGCCATACATCAAGTACAAACAACTTCTTTTCTTTTTTTTCAAGATAAAAAAGTGGCAAAAAGCTTTGCTACAAGATTATCACAGGACTGCATTTGTGCCCCCATTCAAACCATTTTTTTTAACTTTCTAATGGCTGCTTATCAGTCTTAAACTTTCAGACATTTAAAAACTAAGGAAGATACAACATAGAAGTTTATACTATCATTTTAAACATCAGTTTGGTAACATTTCTAAATCTATTACAGTACAGCTCAGTACATTCTCAACACAGGTTCAGAGGTGTGGTGTTTTTTTTTTCTTCATGAGGCACTGGTTTTGAATTTAAAAATCAAGGTTTGCAAGCCTTGTAAAATCAAGTCGCAACTTTGTATGAGCAAATCCATTACTATCTACTAGATGAACTAGATATTAAAAAATTCAGATAAGTATTAAATTTGGCTACTCTGGGATTTAGTTTAAAAAGCGTGTTATCACATCTTACAGCTTAGGCCAAATTTAAAACTTACAAATTAACTACTTAAGTCCTATTTCTCTCTTGGGTCATTGGCTATGAAGTGGGTTGGCTCGGGAAGTGCATCACCTGAAAAAGAGAGAACCAACAGTCAATAATCTAAAAACAGCAAAACGCAAATGAAAAGAGCAATGGGGACATCACAAGATACTAACATGAAGCCTCCTTTTCTGCCTCTTCTTTGTCCCTTCTGATGTAGATAGCATTTAGAAGGAAAAATAGTCCCCCTAACACCTCAATGAAGCATGTGATGAACAGAGCATACTGCATGCTATGGAAATCTACTACATCAGAGGAAGTAACTGGCACCGAAGTATTGGTAGGAATGGTAAATGAATCTGGATTAAGAATCTTCTTTAAGTTATTTGAGACCTGAAATAAAAGACAAAACTTCAGTTATTTTGAGGGGATTTTAAAAATATCAAAGATTTATGTGAAAATATGGATATTTACTTACCAAACCAATCAAGAAAGGACTGCTGGCATCACCGAGGGCATGTGAAAACAATATTTGGTAGGCCTCAGCTGATGATCTCCGTGAAGGGGGCACAACATACTGAAAAATAAATTAATATGAGTGAGGCACTTTAATTCACAGTAACTTTTTTTTTCTCCGGAGATTGTGGTAAAATTTATACTAACCAATAGAATATCAGCAACAATAGACCAATTCAAGTTCAGGAAAAGTTCTGCCGTGAATATGAGTGCATAGCACAAGGTTTTGTTTGTTGTCGGTGACAAAATGGCAAAGAAACAGATAGGAGCACTTATGATCAACCCAGCTGCACAAATTAGAGGATCAATGCGAGAGTATCTTGATCGCAGGAGCTGGGACAGGAACGGGCCCAGCGGAACGCCTATGAGCCCAGAAAGCATGGCAACCACACCAAACTTGAATGATACACTGTAATAAAAGTAAAAATTTAAATACATTGTGGAATTGAAATTTCAAAGAATAAAATTTAATATATATTAACAGAAAATAAACACTTACTCTTCTTTGGCGCTGTCATCACCAGGGATAAGTTTAAATCCAAGAATAAGGAAACTGGGGCCAAAGAATGCGAGTGCACCGGTCACAAAAGCAACACAGGTGAACCCAGCTGTTGATAGCATGAAAGATTTGCTGGGAAAAGAAAGAGGTAAATTAGTTTCACCATTCATCAGATTAAATATGTAATTGAAAAACTAGCAATGTACTCACTTGGTGAAAAGCAGCTTTAGGTCCTCCCACCACGTATTGTGGGAGGCTTCTACACGTGTGCCCTCACTTTCGCCACGCACAGGTTCCTCCAACAAGCACAGAATGAGGAGCACCGAGGCAATGCCAAGAGCAGGAGTAAGTCGCAGGGCCCAATGCCAACTTCCCAATGAACTGGCCATGTGTGCTCCCACAATGTATCCCAATCCACTGAAAAAGAAATAGTAAATCAAATTAAGATACATTTCACAATACAAAGAAATATAAAACCTAATTGATAGTAAATTGTCAATCAATTACCTGCCAATTGGGATAGCAAAGTAGAAGAGTGCTAGCATGTGGGAACGTTTTTCTTTGACGAACATGTCGCTAATAATAGTAGGGGCTATTGTTGAGTAACTTGCCTCACCAATACCAACAAACAATCTGAATAATATAAATGAGCCATAGCTCTAGGGAAGAAAATGCAAGAACAATTAAATGATTAGAAATACGAGTTCAACTTCGAAACCATTGCCCCTTAAATCATGTAAACCTTACATTCATATATGATCCGGCTAAAGTGGTCAAACTCCACATCAGCACTCCCCCAGCCATGATGTATTTCCTGTTGTATCTGTCGCCCAGGTATCCAAAGATGGGGGCGAAGACCATGTAGCTCACAACAAAAGCAGTCTGAAGAAGCCCTGCTTTGTCGTCATCAATGTCGAACGCCGTTTTAATATCGTCCAAAACGCCTGAAACAGAAAAAGGAAATGCCGAGTTTATTGAGGTGGCATGGCATGTTCAGTCATCAGCATTCATGAGAAGAGCCTATGACATAAAATAGTTTTCCGCGGGACTCTCCCGTCGATACTCCTCGCTACCCCCGTGGCGAGCGGGGTATCGACGAATCGGCGCCAGCATGCAGTGCTTGGGGAAGACAATCGGGATGCCCGGCCCGCGGCCCGTACGGCAAAAAGCAAAGCGGTGTGCGCTTCGGACCGAAATAACGCGACGCGACAGGGGCGGGAAGGGGAGGGGGTGCACGTGCAAGAGGAGCGTCGCGACGACGGCGCTCTGCCCTGTGTTCAGTCGGAATCCGAACAGTGCTTCGTCGCTGCTCATCTCTCTCTCACCCCTACGGGACGTTCTACGACACGAGAGAGACAGAGATAGCGAAGAAAGCACTGCCGCGTCCGCGTCGACCCGCATGCCGCGCCGCGCCGCCATGCCCCAGCGTTTGCATTTCGGCCTGGATTTGCCCCGCGCCGCGCCGCCCTAGCGCCGCCGGCAGCCAGGCAGCCCCAAGGTGTGTGACACTACACTGGTACGCTACACGTGCGGCCTGCGGGTGCTGCGGGCGAGCACAATGGCGGGCCGGGCGGACTTCCCCCTTCCCTTTGGACCTGCGGCACCAGCGCTGCGTGCCGCCGGGCCGCGCTCACGGCTGGCAGAAGGGCGTCAAGCGGATTAGGGCGAAAGGGCCGGCCGACTAGATTACCAGAGCAGCAGGCCAGCGTGGCCAGCCGGCCAGCGAAGAGCGCGCATGTCAAGTGAGGGCTGCACTGCAGCAGGCCACTAAGTGCTAAATTGGGCTCGTTTCGGAAGGGCTGGCCCATGACTGCAGCAGCGGGGCGGTGCCGCTGCGCCGTGCATGGACGCACCGCGAGCCCCGCCTGCGCCCTATAAGGCCAGCAACAGGAGGCCCCACGCGGAGACTCTCCAGTGGAGAGGGCCCAGGGCAGCGCCCAGGGCAGCGCCCGTCGGACCGTCAAGAGCGGAAGCCAGTCGTTGACCACCGCGGCGGCGGCGGCGGCCTGGATGGCGGAGGGCCCAAACAGTGCAGGTCCGGCCAGCACGGCCAGCACGGGGCACTGTAAGGGGCACGGCTTGGTGACCGCCGCGGGCCTCGAGGCCTCCCCGACGACGACGGCCCAGACCACACAGTGGCGCGAACGACATCGTCAGAGAAACCAGGAAGGCGCGTCTTTCGGCACGAAGCAATCAAACGCGACCCGGATGGCAGCTACGGCCACGGCAGCACCCCGGGGCCCGCGCCCACCCGCCCCTCTGAGACCCGCTGCAGTGCAGGCCAGACGGAAACGATTAGCGTTTTGGGTTTTAGACTCTTCGAATGGCCAAGGCGGCGCCCTGCCGGGGGGTCTTTCAAATCCCGCGGGCTGCCAGGACCCTTCCAGGGCCCAAGGGCTGCTTTAGGACCCATTGGACACAGCGAGGGGAACAAGTGGGCCGCACCAACCACGCATGCCACGCATGTGACATGAACGTGTGACAAGGAAGGCTCGCAGTGCGACGCACGCTGAGGACGCCGATCGCGAGGAAGCGAGATCCAGCCGTCATCCCAGTATGGCTGAACCGAAATCCCCGGCGGAGGCCGCGTCGGACACAAAACACGACCTCTAACAACCAGCCGATGCAAACATCGAAAAAAAAGCGCGCAGAGGGGAAAAGGGAAGGGGGGGGGATAATGACACCGAAACACAGATGAGCGCGTCACCCAGCGAGGCCAAAACACGCAAAGAAACCAGATCGACTAGCCGTCAGTCAGCCAGTCGCATTCCGACCACCTGATACTACACTGGGCAGGCCGGAAGTTGCGCAAGAACGTTGCGCCCCATCTGCATACAGTGGCACTCGCAAGAAACGAAACCTGCGCTGAATTGGTAATGCCATGACAAGTAAGTGCCAAACAGAACCAAACAGGAGAAAGAAACACGATTGGGAAAAAAATTGGCCATGCACCCGCCCGGCGTGTCACGCATGCATTATCTCGGATTCATCCAAGCGATTTTTACATTAGGATTAAATTTAATCCCCCAAAGCGCGCTGAAGTGGGTGCAAGATAGCTCCGCGGACTCAGTGACCTCCACGGCGTGGCAACCGACCAGCCCGCCCATCCATCGTCCATCCATCCCCAAGCGAGCCGAGCCGGGGCCGGGACAGCCTCGCAGTGGCGCCCCCACGCCCCAAGGTCGGCGAGCCACCCCGCCCCACCCCGCCCCGCCCAAGGCGCGGTGGGCGCGGCGCTCCGCGTCCCTTACCTACCGCAATCCGCGCGCCGCCCAGGCTCACCCACGGCACGGCGGCCACGGCGGCCACGGCGGCCTGCCCCCTCCCCTTCCCGCAGCCCGACTGGCTGCGTTTGCTATTTCCGTCGTTTCGCGCGCCTCTCAAATTCGCATCTGCGCGGCCAGAGGCAGAGACAGAGAGACCCAGCCAGATACCCGCAGCGCGTCTGCGCGTCGCGGCCTTGAACGGCGGCCGCGGAAAAGCGTCATCGGTACCGAAGTACGTGCCGCCGTGTGGCTTTTCCTCCCAGAGCCTCCCCCTGAGGCCGAGAGTGCGCAAGCGGCGCAAGCAGTGAACGGGCGTGCGTGTGCGTGCGACACTGTGAAGCCGCGGTCGCTGCGGTAACGGCCCACGGATATCCAGCAGCCACACTCCACATCCGTCGCGGCACGACAGGCGGGGCGGGGCGGGGCGGGGCGGGGCGGCGTAGCGCGCCACGTCGCCTTTCTCCAACGGCAGCCCCCCGTGGGCCCACCACGGCCCCGCCACGGCCGCGCCACGTGTGTGTGAGGACGTGCACACAACAAAAGCACCGAGCGAATTAACGGCTGGACCTCGATTCGCGTTATCCGCGATTGAAAGGGGGGGGGGGGCAATGACCTGGCGGATGAGAAAGCCAGAGCATCTGCACGGCAGGCACACGAGGAGAGAGAGGTTTCATTTCGGATTAAGAGAGAGGAGGAGGAGGAGGGGGAGTACAGCCAGCCAGAGTCAAGGCGCTGTTTCAAGGGCAGTGCAGTGCATCGTCTATACGTACTCACACTCACACACAGACGGAGAAACAGACGCATTAATTGGTGGGCCTGGCTCGGGCTGCAGGCTGGCTCCGCCACGGCTCCACGCCCCAAAGCAGCAGCAGCAGCCACGGGCCGGCGAGCGTCAGGCTGTCCATGCACAACGCCCCGCGGCCCCGCAGCCCCGCCGAGTAGAGGCAGAGGCGGCATTCCGAGGCGGCCAAGAAATCCCGCTGACGAGCCGAGCGCGGCCAGGGCGAGAGCCAAGCCGGGCCGGCCAAGTCGGGCGGCGCGCCGGGCCGAGCCGGTGGCATCGCTGATGAGGCCATGAGGCCGGCGAGGCCGGCCGGCAGGCAGGCAGGGCACAGAGACAGGCCCGCTACGTGGCCCGGCCGCCTGGCCCGCCTGGCCCATGTCCGTCCAGCCAGCCGGCCGCATGCCCGGCGAACGCACCGCGGCCAGGGCGTTAATTTTTGAACCAAGCCTTCTTCAGGCTGCAGCGCGGCCGCTAAAGCCCCGCCACGCCCCGCCACGCCACGCCCCACGCGTGTGGTGTGGCGGTGCACCGGTGCACCTGAGCCAGTCAGCAGTCCGCCGAGTCCACGTGTGTCGACAGCGGACGGTGCGGACGGCGCGGCCCCGGGACGCGACACGTGGCCGACGACGACGACGATGACGCTGGAGCGTGAGAGCGTGGCGCAATCGCCGCGATCAAAGTTCACAGCCACCTCGTTTTTTGTGGGAAACGCAAAAAACGGCGCCGCGCCGAAATTCCTCCTGTGGCCATTCGCCTCCGGCCATCAAACACGCGCGAGTCCGGGAGGGGAAACACCGCGAGCGCCGCGCAAACAGCCAGTCGCGAATGTGTTGTCCTTTTTCCTTTTCTATCCCGGGCCTAATGAGGGGCAGTGTCGTGCGGCCAGAGTGCCGGGGGTCTTTGAGCCCCCGAACCGCGCCACTGCCGCTACACTGTCCGTCCGCACGTTGCGTCAAAGTCCACGTCAGGCGCCCAGGTTCCACAGTCACGCCACACGCCCAAAGACGAGGAAAACCGGCGCGGTGTGCGTCTAATCACTGCAGCGCTCTCTCCCCCTCACCACGTGTCATTCCCAGCGCCAAGGCCTCTCCGAGGCCGCGAATCTTGACCTTCGTCCTTGACCGAAGAAAGGGGAGCGTTCGGCGTCCGCAAACCGGCAAAGCAGCTCATGGCGCGAGCTTAGCCTTCGCTTCGCTCCTCGCGTCAATGTAACTCTCCTGGCGGTCAGGGGGAGGGGGAGGGGTGCCGGCACGGTGCCCGGGCATCGTACGACCGAGCCCGCAGCCAATGGGAGCCCGGCTCGGAACGCGTGGTGCCGCGCGGCCGGTGCCCCGCCGCCCCTCCCCCCGGACTGGGACTGCTCAGGTGAGCGAGGTGAGGCGCGGGCGCGGGGGTGAGGGGACGGGGAGGAAGGCGCACTGCACGGCCTGGCGCCGCCGCACCGCGACGCACGCAGGTCCGCAGGACCCTCCCCGTTGCACCAAGCCCCGGGCCAGGCCACCAGGCCGCGAGGGTTGGCACCGCGACACCGCGGCCAGGCCAGCAGAGAGAGTCGTTGTCGTCGCAGTCGCACGGGACGCCCCATAAGAGCGAGAGAGACAGCGACTCCCGAATCAGTCTGCAGCAGGCAGACTCAATTCCAAGCGTCGTTTCGTCACTCTGCCGCACTCATGGCGCGTCCCGTGAGGATGCGAGAGAGACAGAGAGCGACCCTTTGGAATCACTCGGCAGGTCAGACTGTCGCGAGCAAAATAAACAGACTTATCGACGGTACGGGACGGGCGGGGCCGGGGGGCAACGCGTGGTCCGCCGTCCTCTGACGGCCTCGGATCGGGGGCAGTGGCTGCAGGCCGTCGCTCCGTCTCTCTCGCACTCAATGGGCGCGCCGCAAGAGTGCGAGTGAGATAGAGCGACGAAAACAAAGCGGAATCGCTCGGCTGCTAAGCCACTGCACACGCGGATATCAGCTGATGGCAGGGGTCATCCGCATCTCCGCGCTCCCTCCCGCCACGGCGCGCCCGCGTCCAGCTTGCGATGCGAGTCACAACAAACGATGCCCCCGCGAGCCGCGACCGGCAGCGAGCTCGGTGAATGTGAATGCATCGTGCAATGCATGCATCCGCACTCGAGTCGAACCGAGTCCTCCCCGAGTCGACTTTCGCTGACGCCTGGCTGGCCAGCGGAAAGGCAGGAGCGCATAGCGCACCGCCGGCATCGCCATCGCCACACGCGGCAGCCAATGGCGGCAGCCCAGCCCAAGCCCTCAAGGTTCGGCCACAGATAGCTGCACTTAGCGCCACCGCGCCTGCACTTGGCCGTCCACCACACCGGCCCCGTCGGCCCTCCCTCACGTGGAGGCGCGCTGCGCGCTTCGAGAGGAACCTGCTGTTTACCCGCACGGCCGCACCGGGATGGGATGGGATGGGATGGGCATAAACAGCCGCACGCGCCGCGAGAACGCCGCAGTACGCAGCATAATGTCCGATTTTGCAGGGATGCGACCGGATGTGAAACCTCGAGGATGACGCTCGGGTAACGCGCTCTGGTGGCCGTTTTCTATACTCCGACTAGCTCCGAGTTTGAATACTCTCCCAACCGCTGACTTTATTCACTGGTATCAAATCCATTAGGGATTATCATTAAACTCTACTATTTAGACTTTATTAGGATAACTGTCATTATATCTTTTTATTAATTAGTATAGTCTTAATATTTGAGTGAATTGGAGTTAAGAATCTTACTTGTTAGCTTACCGTAGCGTCTCAGTCGCCTTATATCACTGCAAGTTATCTTTATTATATTAATTGCCGATTTATTTTTTGTTTGAGTTTTGCCGTTTTAAGCATCTGGGTAAGTTGTATGTGGAATTTTCAACTAATTGCATGGAGCATAGGTTATGTCAACCTCAGTGACAAACTTGTGGGTTTGTCTAGAAGAACACGCGTTTCGTGCGATTTTCCTGTGTTTTCTTACCGCACATAGAAATAACGGACTAAATTACACTTTTGAAAATGCGCTCAATACGTTTCATGACTGACTTTCTATGCTAATCTTTTCATTGCACCTGTTGCCTCAGCATAGCGTAACTAACATATTCTTTTTTTCTCTGTCTGAATAGGTTCACTATGGCTCAGCATCGTGGTGAGAAGGTTCAAGAAATCAAGGCTGATCTGTTTGCGTATGCTAGAAGTAATTATGCGTTGGCTCATTGTGTGGGTGCTGACTTGAAAATGGGTAAAGGCATTGCTGTTGAGTTCAAACACAGGTTCGGTCATCAGCAGTATCTTCTGGATCAGGGCAAAGTTCCAGGCCAAGTAGCTGTCCTTCCAGGCAACATGTGTAATCGTGAAGCTCCCATTTTCTACCTTGTGTCCAAGGCTCTCAGCTATTCCTATGGTCCCCGTTGGCAGGATTTCGTGTCTTGTTTGCAGGAGCTGCGTCAACTGTGTGAACAGATGGGCATCAAGTATGTGGCCATGCCTCGCATTGGTTGCTACAACGACCACCTCGAGTGGTGTAACGTGGAGGCAGAACTTTACAGGATATTTCAGTTTTCCCCTGTCAGTGTCTTTGTGTTCACCCCTCCAGTGCTGCCCACCCACAGGTTTCCTGATGTGCACGTTGGCGAACCCTCTTACAAAGGTTTTCAGCTCCTGGGTGACAGCCAAATGCTCCGTTTTTCTCAAACATTTGGCTCTTATCAGCAGCAGCCTCGTGAGCGTTTTCCCAGGCGACTTGGTTTGTGCCTTTCTGGTCAACGCATGAAGAGTTTGCAGTTCATCATCCAGCCAGCCCAACTTCATCACTCTGTAATTGTTCTTATTGGCACAAATGATGTTTTGCAGCTCTACAAGTATGGTGGGGATTTCAGGAGGGCCATCCGCCACACGTTGAGGACCACTGTTCGCCAACTGGGCAAAACTCTAGCTTCCAGGTGCACACGAGTCATCGTCCCTTGCATTCCCCCTGTTCCTGCCCATGCTGAGTGTACAGAGCACGTTGTTTGGTTGAATGGGCTGATTGAACACCTTCCTAAGTTCCATGCCAACATCCAGGTGGTCAAGTGGACGGAGAACATGGATGTCAGCTTCTTTGAAAGTGTCATGGGTCCCCCAGGCAACCAGCGGCAGGATCTTATCCACCTTAACTACAGAGGCCTGGAGCTGCTGAAGACTTCCTTGGACCAATCTATTTCGTCATTCCCTCCTTTGTAGTGTTGTAAATAATTAATTTTCTTCTTCCTCTTCTGTTTTGTGTTTTATGTTAGTGTTTTTGTTGATCCCAAACAATCCACAAGTTGGTATTATCAAAGGCATCTTCTGCGAGATTGATTATTAGAAATAGCTAGAGCCATTACGGTACAGCTCCTAATGATCTATCTACAAAAGCTGCTTTGAGTTCTGCTTGTTTTTCACTCCTGCTTGACTTATTTATTGGCTCCCTTTGGAGGTCTGGCTTAGTTCATTGCTCTTTCAGTAATTTTTGCATCCAGTCAGTTGTAGCTTGTGGGTTGTTTGGAAATTTGGTATTGTTAATTTAATTAGTCTCTCTGGTCATGTTGTGTATGTTCTGACTGTTCTAAGTAATCTTCTGAGAGATTGATTATTAGAAAAGCTAGAGCCATTTGGTACAGCTCCTAATGATCTTTCTACTGGATTTTGCTTATTTTTTGCCAATAAGTTTTCAGTAAATTGTGCACCTTCCTTTGGAAATTCTTTACTAGTGACGGCCAACAGGTGCTTTCTTTTTGCTTATGCATGCCTACTTATTGGCAACATGAGAATCCTTTTAATAGCAGAGCTTCCAATCTTGCTCAGCTTGATCATTTCCAACTGATTACTTATTGGTAGCTAGTGGTAACCCAACCATAAATACTATTGCCGACAACTAAATGCAGCCTAAATTGCTGCACGGTTTTTCCAAATTTTAATGCAGGCTCCAAACAATGTTCAGGTGCATCAGCCTTTTGAAGTATGTGAACTTTGTTTGGATGACAGTCTCAACCCTGTGTAAATGCAGAGAGATCATGAAGTAAAATTCTTTTAGTACATTTTCTTTTCACAGTACATGTTTGTTAACTCAGTTTTTGTTTTTTGGCAGTACTAATCTGAAACTTTTCGAAGCTACCCTCCTGCTGCATTTGAGGTCACAGCAAAGCAATCTTTGTGGTGAATCCCCGTCAAGATGAAAAGATTTGTTTTTATCATGATTTGTTAAATTCCCTAAATACTCAGTATTTTTGTTTGTTACTTGTAGTTTTCAATAAATAGAATCATAAAGCAAAGATTGTTTCATTCCTCATACCTGACACAAAATGTTTACCAATACAGTTTTACAATTAAAATTACATTATATTGTGGGTGAAAGTGAAAACGAACTAAACTTATGACAGCTGTTTTTGAAATTTGGAGAGAAAAAATCATATTTTGGGGCATGTTGCTCGCTGTACAACAGCAAACCTGATTTTCTTTTAATAGAAAAGTCTACTTGTTTCTTAACACACCTTAATTCACAGAGGGGATACAAAGGAGTCTAGCGAGCATGTCAGCAAAAGGGATTTGTAAAAATGCACAAATTTGGAATTTTTTAAAAATGGGGTGTTGTAACTCAAATAATATCAGAAAGCCAATCTCTTCATGAGAGTGAAAACCTCTGTAAATGAGTGCTAATAACTCTTAAATAAAGCTGAAAGTAATGGTCTCTAACATTCTTGGATTTAATTAATTTTCTAGGTCATTTTACATTTCGACGCCCTGATGAGAAGTAGAAAATGCTCACCATGTACCCACCCAACCTATCTAGTGAGAAGAAACTGTTTTGAATTTGCCGCTCTCTGTAAAGCCACGCCTATTGGCTCCCTCCCTGCCAAGCCACGCCCATTGGTTCCTTCCCTGCCAAGCCACGCCCACTCAGGTTAAATTAGAAACTGGAACGTAAACCTGATAAGATTCTTATGTTTCATCATGGATGAAGGTTTTATTTTTCCTTCTCTAAGAATATCTTTTCCATGGCCAAATTCGGGCTGAGAACACTGCTTTACGTAGGACACTATGATTGCCCCATTGTCGAGCCGGTGATGGCCGGTCATCGGCAACACTGCTGTCCAAACTAAGGTCAATGACCCCAGCCCGTTCACTGGATTGAGCCGATCGGCTGTTCGATTTGGCGCGTTACTGATCGAAGAAGACTTCTGGTATCCTTTTGTGGCATTAAAGCTAACCTTCTCCCTTAATTTCATCAAGTATTATTCCATGTGGAATTTGTGGTCAGGGCGTTATAAAAAGTAAGTGAAATACGAGTCGGGACCCCCCGCTGCGCCATAGCAGTTAGGCGTCTAGGCTAGGTGCACCTGTTCTGTTGCTATGCTGACTTTCCAACAATTAATAGTTAGTTTCGAACCATAGGTGTGCATGAAAAAGGATTAGAATTGATAAAAAGTTTTTGTTTTGGTAATTTAGTATGTATATTTCATACTTCAACAATGGAACACAGTTTTCAAGTGATTCCTTCGATCGCTAAACAGTCTTCAACTAGTCTTTGTTAATATTTAAAGCATTAGTCAGTAATATAATATCTTGAGTACATTGATAGGGCAAGATGGAAAACGAGGAAATAAATAGGAGTGATGTAGCAGAAGTGGAAGAGTCCGTAGAGCTTCAGGACTCTTCAGACGATGACTTGATTCCACCTGGTTCCAAGTACCCTCGACAGTGTGAGTGCGGTCAAATGTATTCGACTAGGCAGAGTTATTATAAGCATCAGAAGAGCTGTACTAAAGAGAAGAAAGTTTCCATGTACCCAAGGAAGTGTGATAGGTGTGCGCTTGTTTTAGAGAACAAAGTCCAATTTTGTCGGCATAAAAAGAAGTGTAATGGTGGTGGGGACACCGAATTGAATGCTATGAGACCAAAAGTTGTTTACCCCAGAGAATGCGAAAAATGCCACAACCAGTTCTCAACCAAACAAGAGTTTTCCCGTCACAAGAAAGTTGAGTGCACAGCCGAGGGTTTTACACTGAAAGTAGCCAAACACACACAATGCTTAGATCCAGGGTGCACACTCACATTTTATCATCGTACTGCAATGGTAGATCACCTTATCAAGGATCATCAGAAGGAGTTCAAAATTAGGCAGATGTCATTCAAAACAATGGCTGAGTTTACAGCTTGGAAGGATGAAGTTGAGGCAGAGTCATGGACCTGCTTTAGAGCTCCTTATGGAGCTAAGTGCAATGAAGAGGGCACTTCTAAGTATCGCTACTTTACATGCCAATTTGATGCTCCTGAAAGGAAAGACGATAAGGAAAAGTGCAAAAATAAATGGAAATGGGAAAAGGGACGCATTCCAACAGAGGTGCATTGTCCTGCACGAATGCTGGTGACTGAAACGGAGGGTAAAATTTGGTGTTAAATTTATAGAAACTCACAACCATCCTTTAATTTTTCACCATACTGTTTTGCATAGGGTTCAGCTCACCACAAGACACTTTATTCAATCTTGTTTGATCACTGGTATGGCGCCAGCAAAAATTCTTGAGCTTTTGAGAGGTGATGTTGGTGAGCTGGGCAATAGGGACCCAAATCAGAGACCTAAAAAGGAATTTTTCATTACCTTGCAGTACATCAAACACTGTAAATCCAGAATTAAAGCTCAAGGAAGACTACACAAGGAAGATCACATATCAGTGGATATGCATGTGAGAAATTTGATGCACATTGGCCGATTTGAAGTAGATGGAGTAAAGAATGATCGCTATGATGGATTTGATGATGGGAACTTTAGCCCAATTTTAGTTTACAAACCTCAGGGCAAACCAGTGGTAGTTGGGCATCCTAACTTTGATTGCATAAAAAACAGTGCAGAACTATTTATTGTTGGTTTTCAAACTAAAGAGCAGTTAGATGTTATGAAAGAGGGTTGCAAAACTGTTTTGTGTATAGACTCCACATACTCCACAAATGAGTATGGGTTTTACTTAGTTAACATGGTAGTTCAAGACCCGTATGGACAGGGGTACCCTGTTGCTCATTTCATCACAAATTTTCAAGATGAGGAAACATTGGCTCTTGCCTTTGAGAGCATTAAATTCAGGTGTCCGAACTTGGAAGTCAATCTTCTGATGACTGACGATGATCAGGCAGAGTATAAGGCCTTTTTATTAATTTTCCCTGGGACGAGACATGTTCTCTGTACGTGGCATGTCCGAAGAAACTGGAACAAAAATATGCCATCAATAGGAGACAAAGAATTGAGGAGACTTATTAACCATAGTTTAGCAGTTCTGATGTATGAAAAACATGAGCCAACGTTCCAAACTTTGCTTATAGGTTTCATTGCTCAGTTTAAAAGTAGGTGCCCTGTTTTCATTGAATATTTTGAAAAGTATTACAAGGAGAGGCCATCAGTTTGGGCTTTGTGCTATCGTAATTTCCCACATGGAAACACTGACACCAACATGTATTGTGAGTCACTGCACAACTTACTGAAAACATATTACATGGAGAGAATTCAGAACAAGAGAGTTGATGACCTTACACAAATAGTCCTTAGAATGGAAAGAGACTATTTCATGAAACTGTGGAAAAATAAGGCTGAGGGAAAGGCAGAAGTAAGTGTCACAGTGACACAGAAAAGGAAACACACTAGAGGGATAGCTATTAAGGATGAGGATGTGACTCATATTAAGGGTCATGTCTGGGCTGTTAGGTCTCAGGATGAAAAGAAGAAGGATTCGGATGAAGAATACTTTGTGGTAAAGCATAATGAAAAATGTCCCGTGGACCACTGCTTTGTCCAGTGTGTCACACAAGCATGCAAAGGTTTGTGTGAACATTTGTATACTTGTACTTGTCCTTGTCCTGGGGGAATGTGTAAACACATCCACAAAGTTCACTCTATCTTTCTCAGAGAGACTTCAACCACTAACCATACAGACAGGGAGGGGGAATTTTGGGATGCAGAGGAGGGTGGGAATTTGCATTTAACAAACCCAGTAGAAGTGGAGGTACACTCCAAAGAAGAAAAAGATAGGAAAAACGTTGAAGAAGTTCAATCTCTTTGTGAAATTTTAAAAGATAGATGTAGTAAGCCAGAAAATTTTAAATTCTTGGACCACATAAAAACACAGTTACAGCAGATGGAAGCCATGACAAGAAATACAAATAAACAAGCCCCTGTAGTAGAGATGGGAACTAAATTTCAACCTACTATGTCTGTAAACGGACCTCAAAAATTAGTGACTCAAAGTGATCTCAAATTTAAGAGAACTGCCTTGAAACCTAAACCAACTGATACAGTAAATAAAAATCCAACATACCAGGAAAAGAAAAATATTAAAGTTTCTCTTTTAAGTTTAGCAGGTAGGGCTACTTTAAAACGCCAAAGAAATGAATTTGTTCAGAGCAGTTCCCCAAATGACATAGAGAATAGTGACCCCTCTAATTCAATGTTACCAAATCTTCCAACAAAACAGGCTAAATTGTCTACAGTAAAGCAGGAAGTTTTCAACCCCTCTAATTCAATGTTACCAAATCTTCCAACAAAACAGGATAAATTGTCTAAAGTAAAGCAGGAAGTTATCAACCCCTTTAATTCAATGTTACCAAATCTTCCAACAAAACAGGCTAAATTGTCTACAGTAAAGCAGGAAGTTGTCAACCCCTCTAATTCAATGTTACCAAATCTTCCACCAAAACAGGCTAAATTATGTACAGTAAAACAGGAAGTTATCACGCCAAAATTAGCAACTGTTGATGTGAAGCCGAACATCACTTCTGTATTCCGTGATCAGTCTCAACTTAAAACTAACAAAGAGCTTTCATTCACACCAAAATTAGGTTTTGCTAATACAATTCATGACCATGTGCTTTTCTTTGGCAAAAAAAGCAGTATAACATTTGTAGCATTAAAAACTTTAGATCCACATATTAGTGATGCTGAAAGTTCATCTTTGATAACTTTAGGTTATCGATTTACTAGGGGATGGCTTCATGAGGATGTCATTGATGCTTACCTCTTTCACTTGTGTTCTGGCAATGACAAAGTTCATGCTCTAAGGTGCTGCTTTGCCAATATACTGAACACAATGTCAGACAGCAGAGAGGCAAGAAAGCTTCTCACTGACCAAATTTCGGAGTCTGTTGAGACACTCTTGATCCCTACTAATCTCACCAACCTCCATTGGATTCTTGTAGTTGTGAAACCAAAGCTTGGGGAAATCCATGTGTATGACCCTGCAGACAAAAATTGTGGAAAGATTTATTTAGACTTTTTCCCCAAATTGACAAAACTTGTTAATGAGGAGTACAAAATTTCAAAAACATGGGGAGTCAGATGCCCAACCCATATAGAGCAAAAAGATTTGATAAGCTGTGGGGCATTTGTCTGCTTTTATGCCAAAGAAATAGTTCATGAGAAAAAATCACTGACAGTAGATATAGATCAGTTCAGAAAAAGCATTTATCTAGTTATAACAGGAAATTGCCTAAGAAATTTAAACTATTCAAACAAAAAATGTGTTAGTTGCAGAAAAAATGTACCCAAAAAGCATGTGATATGTCAAAATTGCCACCAACCATACCACATTTCATGTCTCTTAACGAAACACCCCAATTCTAACATACAGGTCGGTTCTGAGTACAGATGCACATGAGTGAATTAGGTAACTGTCTCTGAGTGGTGGACTGATAAGAATAGCTAGAGCCAAAATGGTACAGCTCCTCATCAGTCAGCCAACAAAGGCAGGCAACCAGGTCAGCTTATTCACAATCCTACAGCATTCACAACCAATGTCTTTGAGTGGTGGACTGATAAGAATAGCTAGAGCCAATACGGTACAGCTCCTCATCAGTTGGCCAACAAAGGCAGGCAACCAAGTCAGCATATTCACAATCCTACAGCATTCACAACCAATGTCTTTGAGTGGTGGACTGATAAGAATAGCTAGAGCCACTACGGTACAGCTCCTCATCAGACCGCCAACAAGGGAATAAACAGGCAATAAAGTTTGCATGCTCACAATACTAAAGTATTCACAACCTATGTATTTGAGTGGTGGACCGATAAGAATAGCTAGAGCCAATCTGGTACAGCTCCTCATCAGTCAGCCAACAAAGGCAGGGAACTTTTCAATTGGGCTGTGCACTCAACATGGTTAAACTAGTCATTATAATTAAGAAACTTAGTTATTTAATACTCTTGTAATGTTCCTGTAAATATTTTTGTACATACACACATTGCCTAGTCAATAATTTGTCCTATTATTTTTACTTAGTTGATTTAATTCTCTTGTAATGTTCCTAAAATTGTATACACATATATAGCCTAGTCACAAATTCAAATAATTTGTCCTGTTATTTTTTGCCAAATATTCTAGCAAGTAAATAATCCAAACATATGTTATGTAAATAAAGTAATGATAGAAATAGAAGGAGTGATTAGAAACATTTAATTAACTTGTGTTTATGTTGCAGGTCATCTCATCTGCTCCACTCCAGCAAAAGTAAGAATTGTGTTTAAAACTAAACACAATCCCTACTAAAATAAGAGTTATGGTTTATTTTTTCTTTAAAATAAACATAATTCTTGTTTGACTTTTTCTGAATCCTCCACCTTCAAGTGGAGGTTAACTGAAACACCAAGCTTCATTATTTGGCTTCCTTTTATTAAACTCACCGGCATAAAGTGAAGCTTGGATGTGAATTATGGTAAATTACCAAACTAAACAGCCAAAATTGCTGTACCTTTATTCCAAATTTTAATGCGGGCTACCAAATCAGACATCTCTTGACAAGGAAACTGTTAAGGGTGTAAATAAAATCCAGAGATTGTTCGTCCTCGCCACCGTTAAAGTATCATAGGTGTCATTTGATTCAGTAAGAATTCTATGAAAAGTTATGACCATATAATATTAAATTATTTTAATTATTCAAATTCTTGTATTCCATTTCAAAGTTTATTGTAATGAATCACCTTTCTTAATGCACCATTTTGCCCTTTTGAAATTGTATGGATGAAGAAAATCTGGATATGACACCAAACACCGTTCTATTGTGGAATGTCAGATTTGATAGGCAGTGTCAACCCTGCATAAACGCAGAGACAGCTTTAAATTATTTTTTAATCCTTTATCTTACTTAATTTTTTAAAGGGTTTAATTTGAATGAATCATTAATTTTGTGAAAGGAAATTTTAATGTTTGATTACACCAACATCCTGACCCCAACAGAATGAAGCCATTGTAATTGTACCATACTTACATAGCAGAACATATATTGCTTTGAAAAAGTATTTATTCGTCTGGGAAATTCAGTGAAGCAATTCTAGTCCATCTTCTGGTAAGGAAAAATTGTTCAGCATATCATGAATCAAGAAGTACAGTTTCACAGTGGTCAAAGTTGCTACTACATCTGCAAGATAATAAATGCAAGACGTCACTACACATGTCGTCATAATGAACAAATGCAATGTGAAAAGATTTCAAAAGAAAATGTAACACATACATGAGAGTTCTGCTGTTGTGGCAGAGGTTAGTATTTGTTTGTCTGGGAAATTTGGTGAAGCGATTCAAGTCCATATTCTGGAAAGGAAAAATTGTTCAGTATATCAGGGATCAAGAGGTACGGTTGACATTGGGCAAAGTTGCTAGATCTGCAAAATAATAAATTCAAGACGGCGCTACACATGTCGTCATGATAAACAGAAGCAATATGAAAAGATTTCAAAAGAAAATTTAACACGTACATCATACGTGATTGTTCTTCTGTTGCTGCAGAGGTTACGTTCTGTTAGAGGAGAGAGGAGACTTTTCTTCATGGCTGAAGCAGAACATGAAAAATAGTCCTCGGTAGTATCGTCAGTGTCTTTTGGAAACGATAGAATTTTAATTAATGAACCAATTTTAAGAGATATTATGGTTAGAGGCATTACCCGTGTAAACGTGAGATGGGAGACGAAGATCTAATAGGTCTATTTAATAAACACGAGAATGTAATCTTCTGAATCAATTTAGAATGTACTTCCTGTTTTTATGATAATTTTACTATTATTTGAATCTAATGATAATAATAACAACACTACATGAGGTGCTACAAGTGTCGTCTGATGAGTCCAAGTCTTGTTGTCGAAAACGGCCACCAGAGCGCGTTACCCGAGCGTCATCCCCGAGGTTTCACATCCGGTCGCATCCCTGCAAAATCGGACATTAGTACGCAGCAGCGCCTTGCAGCGCCTTGCAGCGCGGTGCGCGGCGCCGCTCCAAGACGATTACAGTGATTGGCTTGTGTGGCGCGACTTGGCGGTTGCAGCAGCGGCGCCTCTGTGTCGCCAGAGCCGCGCGCCGAACCTCAAAGTGACACGCGGTAACCTTCCCGCGCCGCACCACACCGCCGGCCCCGCCCCCCTCGCGGGCCACCAGGCAGCCCGGCCACGCGGCCGTAGCGCGCTCTGTCGCTCACCTGCCTCGCGTGAGTCGGCGGCTTGAGGGGGAGCGGGGCGGCGCGGACTTTCGCTCGCGGATCAGGCGATGTTGCTCCGCGGCTCCGCGTTCACCACGTCCCGCCACGCCGCGGCGCGCGCCCCGCCCCTCCCCCCAGAGCGCCACCTGGCGGCCGCCTTGCGGTGACGCCCCGCCGCCCCCGCGCCACGCCGCAGCGCCGCCACGCCGCGGGGCACCATGACGATGACGCGGCGCGGCGTGCGTCACCATGGCGCCACCGACACACGGCCGGGACCGCCGGGGCGTCCGCGGAGGTAAACATAAGCAAAGGGGGATCCCAACGCGACGACGCCCGCCTGGTCTGGTCCCTGGTCCGGCCGCGCGCCGCTCGTCTCATCTTATGGCGGAGCGAGGGGCGGGAAATTTCCCGCCAAGTTTGGATTGGCGCGGGCGGATTGGGGAGCGCGCTGTGCGACGTGGAGGGACATAGGGACGACGACCGCCCCGAGGCTCGCCGAATGCAAGACGGGCGCAGATGTGCGCAGCCACGCGGTGTGTGCCATGGTGCCACGCCACTGTGTGGCTTGCGGCGTGTGGCCGCTTTGCAAAGTCAGTCAGCCAGCCCAGCCTTCTGTCGGGCACGCACTTTCTGGGAACCGGCGTGCCGGCGTGCCATTGGCGCACTGTACATACTGTAGACGGATTCCAAGAGCCGTTTTCGTCGCTCTGCCTCTCTCGCACTCAAGGGCGGCACCATACAGGTGTGAGAGAGACAGAGGGGCGAAAACGACTCTCGGAATCAGTTTGCTGCGCACGGCCGCGCCGATGTGGCGGCCAACAACCGGCGCACCGCCACGACGCCCACGGCCAGCCCCGCCAGCCCCTTCCGGCCGCACCCCTCGCCGGCACCGCGCCGCACCCCGCCTCGACGCCACTCGCCTAATGGAACGAGACAATTGCATCGCGTCGCCCGATTCTTCAAAACGAAGAAGGAAGAAAGAAACCGTTTCCACTTCCTTTGAGGACAAGTGGCGAGGGGCGGGGCACTGCGACGAGCTCATTACTAGACGCGACGACGGCGCTGCTCACGCCTCACGCCCCCCGAGGAACGCCATTTGGGAGGGAGGGGGCACACCGGTGCAGAGGAAGGCCCTCCTGGCCGACTGCCGACTGCCGAGGTGCACGACGGCGGGGCGGGAGCGCCGACGCCCACCATGGCCCGCGGGGCGTCAACCTCCACCTGCAGCCTCAGCGGACTGATTCCGAGAGTCGTTTTCGTCGCTGTCTCTCTCGCACCTATGCGGGACACCCCATGAGTGCGAGAGAGACAGAGCGACGAAAACGAATCTTGGAATCAGTCTGCTGCAGCACGGCGATCATCTGGTCCGCCACCTCGTCCTGCGAGCGTGCCTCCATGGCTGCAGCACCTCGAGGAACGTCGTGACCCCTGCGGGGCTCGACATCCTAGCGTCCTCCAAACACTACACCTTCTTCTAGTACTAACTTCTTCAACACTTCTGTCCGCGCGGCCAAGCTCCTCATTTGGTATGCGAGCAGGCCGCAGGCCGCGCTAGCACCGCGCTAGCACCGCCGAGCCGAACGAACGGGCCCAGCGCGCCGCGCCACGGCGACGTCGACGATCAGGCCAGGCAGTGCCGCACCGAGAGAGGAGGCACTTTGTCCAAATCGTCGTGTCAAGACATCCGGCAGGTTGGGGCCTTATTGTGATTGTGACTCGGCACGTGGAGGCCAGCAAAGCTGTTTTCTCTGTGGCCGCGGCGCCGCGGCACTGCGGCCGAGGGCGGATCCAGAGGCGGCTCCAGAGGGGGGAGCGGTGGCGGTCCAAAGTCGCCTGCCTGCATGGGCAGAGTGGACTTGTTGCCTACCTTTTCAGGGGGCGACGCCCCCATCCCCTTTCTCCTGGGACGAAAAAAGGCTGGAGAGGCAAGCCGCGCCATCCACCTGAGTCGCTTCGATGACGCATGGCGCACGGCCCACGGCGCGTAGGACCCACCTGGCACCGCCTGCTCGAAATACCCGCTATCTATTTACTCACACTACTCCACGCACCGCCGCGGCAGCGATAAGGGCGCCGCGTCACTGCTCTGCATGTTGCAGTGTAGTTACGTAGACAGCACATCCCAAAAAGTGCTTCTCTCTCGCACATCCGCGGCACGCCTCCTGATTGGTGGGCGTGGGAGAATCGCGGTTCGAGAGGCGGCCGCTCAAGTGACAACGAATCGGCATCAAAACGCCGAGTCGACCGCCGCCGATTACCTACACCTGTACGGCCGAAGGACAGTGGCGCCACACGCGTGGAGGGGGGAGCATTAGCAATGTGGCCACATGAATGAGTATAGCTCAACCTCACGCCACCTCGCCAGCCATTGGCGTCACCCAATGTCACGCGACACGCGAAATAAGGCAGGTTCGGGACAATGCTGAGTCATTTACAATGACCTCCCCCTTTCATTCCGAGTCGTTTTCGTCGCTGTCCCACTCGCACCACTAATGGGCGCCACATGGGTGCGAGAGAGACAGAGCGACGGAAACGACTCTTGGAGTCAGACCTCCTGGGCCTCCTCGCCCGCACACCACGCCACCGCCCTGACGGCATGCTGACGGCGGTGGCATGAGCAGTGCAGCCGAACAGATAGATAACCGATCGGATGTCGTCGGGCAGGCCGTGCAGGCCCTCGATAAGATACCGGGCGCAGCGGGGGTGGTGGGGCGGCGGGCCTAGCCTCACTGTACGCCGAGTGTCAACACATGGGGCGTGGAGCGTGGGCCCAGGAACGCACCCACGCCGGTGCGGGGAGGCCTTCTTGTTGTAGATCCGATCTCGAGTACCATTTAATCGGTCTGATTCGTCTGATTTGTCTGGTTCGTCTGGTTCCCAGTCCCCCACTCGCTCTTCCAGTGAACCCTTTCCAGGACTCCGTCGGAGAAGCACCACGACGTCGACTCCCTCCCCCCGAGTGCAGTAAAAACGCCAGGATCAATAACACGGCATGACACGCCCCTCCGTGCACGCTTCCAAAACGCTAACGGCGGTTTAATTTTTATTTTACTGTTTAGTGCCGCCTGGCCAGCTTCCCGCCCGCACCGCCGAGCGCAGCAGCACTCCCCTGCCGCCTGATACCGAGGGGGCGTCTCGAGGTTCCGTCTCTCTCGCACCCGCATGAGATGGGATGCCCCATGAGTGCGAGAGGGACAGCGAGAGGCGGTCTGCGGGTCCTCGTTGGACTCGTTGGCAGCGGACAGCAGCGCCGACCCAGCAGCGCCAGGCGGTCCTGGTCTTCCCGCTGAATGCAGCCACTGTTCAACACGTCACCATTACACCATGCGTTGGGCACCCCGTCTCGGCCCGTCTCTCTCGCACTCGTGGGGCGTCCCGCAAGGGTGCGATAGAGAGAGACGAGCAGAGCCTGCAGGGCCCCGCGATGCCCCACTCCCACCGCAGAGGGCCCCGTCAGCCCGCCCGCTAAATATACCGCGGCATGGGCCACAGGGCGCAGGGCATGCAGGCAGGCACAGGGCGCGGGGCGGGGCGGGGCGGGGCGGCAAGACATTTCAAGATCCTTCACCTCAAAGTGCAGCCTGCCACTCGATAAGACGGCCTGCGTTTTCGGCATGGCTGCCGGCTTGACCAGAGCACGGCCAGGCCGGCCCGGCCGCGTCAGGCGTCAGGCCGACGCAGACGCGGCTCTACCCCGCCCTGCATTCTTCGGCCACGCCCCCGCCCCGCCCCCCCGGCCGGCCGGACATTCATTTGTCTAGCTTTCAGAACCAGAACCAGAGTGCCGAGTCGAAAGTCGAAGCGAGCAGCTCGTTGCACGTCGCAGTGTTCCGTGAATCGAGGCCCCACCACACTGCAAGGGGGCTGGGATTGGCTAGTCGACACCACTGCACATGCACTGCAAGTGCAACATGCTCAACGCACCCTGTCACTATGTCAAATACTGTTCTGCAGCTGATTGAATTAAATAGAGTTAGGCTGTAGCTTACTTTGGCATAAAATATAGTAGCTTCTTTTCAAAATAAAACTGGATCAATATAATGCGATTTGAAAATTTCCGCAACTATGATCCTTGTAGGGGGTTCACATGAAACACTTCAGAAACCTAAGTACCTAGACACATAGATACTGCACAACGATAGTGAGCAGGTAAGATTGGGATTAAAGTGAATGCAGTGCAATTTCAGATAAAATTTGCTCATATTCAAGAAACATTAAATGCTGCGGAGAGTGCTCTATGACGTGCCCTACTTTCCAGTTAGCACGCCTCCAGTGAATGCTGCCCTGAACTACCAAACTCCAGAATTCAACAAAAAGATGCCACCAAATTTGGCTGACACTTCTCCATTCATGAGTGCACGCGAAATAAGTGCATTCTCCCCAGCGTCAGCCAAACACCACTCTGCAGAGCAGGTTATGTTGACACCGAGCGCAGCCCCCGCGGGAAGCGGGGCGCACCCCCAAGCCACGTACTCACCCGCTATGGTGTAGCGGTCCATGTAGTTGATGAGGTTGACGAAGCAGAGGATGGCCATGGTCACCCACTGCCCCAGCGTGACGCCCCCACAGGAGACGTGCATCTTGCTCCTTTCTCCGGGGATTGACACGAGCGACGAGGCAGCTGTGGACTCAAGACCACTGTCGTTATCCTCCACGGCCGACATGAGCTGCTGATGGGAGTTGTTGGACGGGATGCCGGCGGACTCCATGTTGAGGATTTTCAGGGAATGTCTGTCCACTAGTCTTTGGGCCGGCATTGACTCGCGTCGGACGAGACGACAACGCGCAACGACACGAAGAGGGAAGGTGGAACGTTACGCTCAGTGACAAGCCCGATCTGACACTGCCGCCATCTCTCTGGGCGGCCTAACGGCAACTGAATTCGTGGCGGGTTGGAAAAACCGCCGCCAGGGAGCGCGCCGCGCTGGACACGGGCTGCCAACCTCACAAACTGCGGCCCGTCGGCGAGTAGGCCACCGCGCGCCGTCTGAGACTATTTTGACTATTTGAAGTCCGACTTTTCGTTTCAAAAATTGAGTTTCTCTGTCATGGCAGACTTTTACTTTAATTTTACAGCCATTTTACGCAAGTATTGTTGCTATCGCGTTGGCTAGAAATTCAAACCCGTGGGAGGCTAGTTTTGATGGAAAATACACGTTCACCGCGTACTTTTTATCTTCAAAACGTAGAATTATGTGAGAATGTTCATCTTGCCGCACGCACGTTAAATCCTAGCCTCTGTTGTTATCTTATCAAGCGTCTCAAGCGCTTTTTTCCGACTGCTAAGTTTCTCATAGAAACTCCCGTCATAGCCTCGCAGCAAGGGCCGCTCGCCGCGCCGCGTGAAGCGGGAGAGTCGCGGCTCGGTTCGAACGGGGCCGCGGAACCGACGCCGACACGACGCCACTGTGGGGCCACGGAATGACGGTTTGTCGTCGAAATCTAGTTTTAAAAACTCGGAGGAAACGGACGGCATTTGCATGAGCAGTTCTAGAGGGTGGCGGGGCAGCATGAAGAGGAGAAGTACCTGGTCCTGATGGACGGTTTGCCGGGAGCTGATGTTCTGTGGTCGCGGCTGAGGTTCTAGTTGGCAGTGAGCCCCACACCCTCGACGCCAAGACGCGGCCAGGACGATGCAGTCCAGTGGGACCAGCAGGACTGGCTCTTAAGGAGCGACTGTGCCGCCCGAGTACCTGACGGCTCGTGTGTCGGCGCGCGTGGTAGCTAGATAGGTTATCTGCGCCCCTCTTTCCCACAGCTGCGCCTGCTGTCACCGCGGTGGCTCTTTGACAGTTTCCTTAATCTGGGCGAGCATTGATCGATCCTCCTCATTCGGGGTAATTTATGACGAGTCAGAGGGCGAATTGAATCCCTGTCCAGTCCACCTCGTTTTACACAGAAACGGCGCGTCTCGCGCACCTTGCACCTTACACCATCCGCCTTGATGCGGACACGGCCAGGAGCGGATCCAGGGGCGCCCCCCCCCCCAAAGCGGCCTGAAATGAAGGCAACATGTAAGTCGCGCTGTGTCCCTGGAGGCAGGCAGCCCTGCAGCCCTTGCGACTCCCCCCCTCCCCCCCCCCCAAGCCGTCTCTGGTTCCGCCTCTTGACACGGCCCGCGCTCGCAGCTGCGGCGCCAAATTAGAATGGTAATGAACGGCGGGCGTCCCCCGCGGCCCCGCGGCCCTGGGGTTGACGGGGAGGACGCCGTCAAACGGCCCCACGCCCACGCACCGCACGGAGCGCCACCGCGGACCGCCTGCAGCCGCGCGACGCGCCCTCACTGGAAGTTGCTGGCGTTCTTTCTCAAGGTGCTAAAGGCTCAAGGTAGGCGCAAAGTCATCTTGACTACATCCTTGCGAAGTTCTCTATCCCTGGTCCTTCCCCGTCCCCAGGGTGATTTTCTTGTAGGTCGCGTGTGGGTGGGCACGGACACGCCCTCGGACAACGCCTCCCCGCCGCCGCGGAGCTGTCTGCTACACTGTCCACGAGCAATTGGCCGCCGTGCCCGATAAGCGGGGTCCTCCACTCGAGGGACTCGAGACACTAGGCGCATTCTTGGCGCTCAGGTTTCGCTCTAGCCGAAATGAGTTCGTGTAGTTCCTGTCCTGGTTGCACGCCTCCCTTCCATTCTTTCCACGTAGACGGCCCCGACAACCCTTCTCGCGAGACAGCGCGACGTAGACCCACATGACCTCCGGACGATGAGGGCGGACGCGGGCACTGTCTCTCTCGCACCTATACGGGACGCCGCCGAGTGCGCGAGAGAGACAGAGCGGCGGAATGCCGTGCGGAATCCGTCTGCAGGTGGAGGTCTCTAATGACCATCTGCTCCGGCCGAGTCGCGGCGTCGCGGTGTCGCGGTCGAGGGGTCGACGCACCGCGCATGCACCGCGTATGCGTAGCGTTTGCTGCTGTCGCACGAGTCCCTGCGAATGTTTTTACCAAGCATGCACCGCACGAAGGCGGTTCAAGTAGTATACAAAATCGGCCGGCCACCAGTGCCTCTCAGCTCAGTGCGGTTCTGCTGCTGGGCAGGGTAACGCGAGACTCCTGACCAGCTTGTATGGCCCCTGAGTGGGAAGGGGGCCGGGCATCGAATGCCGCCCACTGGGAAAGGTGCAGCCTGGCCTACTACGAGAGGACTCCTCCACGCCACAGATGTCGTGACCAATGACGGACCACTGCGGTGGTTGTGAGTGGTTGTAACTCCGAGGTTGCTCCTCCTGTGGTGAGATGGGGGAATGGTCTGGTGAGCACCACTGCCGCAGGGAAGAGGGCCGGTTCGCCGGGGTGCCCTCTTTCGCTGAAATTTTCTTTATCGTTTGACTGGTCCAACCCTCCGCCTGCCTGCAGATGCAGATGGACAGCGGCCCGCCGCCCTACTCGAGTGGCCACGGGCAGGGCCACCACGGCCAGGGCGGGCGCCGCTTCTCCGCGTCGCGGCTCGGCCTGGGGATGGGGATGGGCTACAGCTCCAGCATGAGCGCCAGCGAGGAGACGCTGCTGCTGCCGGGCAAGCAGCGCTCGCTCAGCACGGCCAACATGCCGCCGCACCACTACTACCAGAGCCTCCCCGAGGTGACGGTGCTGCTGGCCGAGACCGAGGCCGAGCCCCTCGACGAGCGCGCGGAGCACGCGGCCCACAGGCCGTGGAAGGACATGGGCAGCTCCCTTGGCGGTCGAGGGGGCGGCGCCCGGGGCCGAGGCCGCACCGAGTCCTTGACGGCGCGTCTGGTGAGTCTCCTATGGTAGTGACCCCATCGGCTGCCCAAGAGAGGTCACCGTTTCACCGTCGCTTCGTGGGGCGCTTTGCAGGGCCTGGAGAAGACTAACTGGTGGGGCATCTTCCTGGCGCTGGTGTCCGGCATGTTCTTCACCATGTCCTCGGCGGCCGTCAAGGCGCTGCGCTCCGTGGACCCCATGGAGCTGCTGGTGATCCGGTCGCTGGTGCAGGTGGTGGTGGTGCTGCCGGTGGCGCTGTACAGTGGCGTGGGCGTGCTGGGGCCCAAGGGCCACCGCGGCTTGCTGCAACTGCAGGGCGTCGTCGGCGCGCTCACGCTCGTGCTGCTCTTCTTTTCGTTCCGGCGGCTGCCGCTGGGCGACGCCACCACCATTATCTTCAGCTCGCCCGTCTTCGTGCTCATCCTGTCCTTCCTGTTTCTCCGCGAACCGTGCGGCTTCTTCCGCACCCTCGTCGTCTGCATGCTGCTCACCGGCGTCGTGCTCATCTCCAAGCCGCCCTTCCTCTTCCAGGTAAGCCGCCCCGTGAGTGCGAGAGAGAGCGGCAAAAAACACTCTTCGGAATCAGTTTGCTGGCATTGCGGAATCTATGCTTTGAGTGGCGGCCGCGGCTTTACCGAAGCCAAATCCCCCCGCCAAGCACCGCACTTGAGTGGGCGCCGTGCTGTGCCAGGGCTGTGCCAGGGCTGTGCCACTGTCGATGGGATTGATGCATTCGGTGCTAGTGTGCTAGCAGGGCAGGTGGGCCACTCTACTCATCGGAACAAAGCCGATAAAAAATAATGGCGCGGGGTGGGCAAAGAGCGCGGCGGCGTCGAGGAGTGTGTCAAGGACTGACTAGGACAACACGCGACGGTCGCGAACTACGCGAACCGATCGCACGACGTCTCCGTTTTCCGATGGAAAGCTCTAAAGCGCGCCCGCCCAGACCGCGAAAGCCGCCTCCATTTTGATTTGACATTAGTTGACATTTTTGCCTCGTCTTGCACGTGCAGGCCCCGACGCTCGGTCTGTTACACAACGCCGCGGCAGGACTCCGCACGGCGGTCGCGGCCACGACGGTGGCCACAGCGACCGCCGGGCACTCCTACGACGTGGTGGGCTACGCGTGCGCGCTGCTCGCCACGCTCTTCACCGCCGCCAATATCGTCATCATGCGCAAGTGCAAGGACGTGCACTTCTCGGTTGTGGTGCTGCAGCTGTCGCTGTGGTCGCTGCTGACGTCGGGCAGCCTGCTGGCCTACCTCGGCCCTCGCCAGGGCGACATACGCCTGCCGCACGGCCTGTGGCAGTGGGCGCTCGTCGGCATGGTGGCCGCCTTCGGCCTGTCCGGCCAGCTGCTCGTGGCGCACGCCCTCAGCCTGGAGGGCGCCGGCAAGGTGGGCAACGGCCGGCAACGGGCAATGCCAAATGAAATACGAGCTGACGCCAACTGACGCGCAACGCTATCAGCACTCAGCAACCTGCATGCAGCTGGGCGCCGCCGATAGGCAACCTGCCTCACGACGGGAGTGATCACGGGTCATCCACCCCGAGGCCCCCGAACAGAGATTTCATTGCTCTGTCTCTCTCGCACTCATGGCCCGTACCGTAGAATGCGAGAGAGACAGAACGCCGGGGCACTGTGTTCGTCGTGCGTGTTGCAGGTGGCGGTGACGCGGTCGCTGGACATCGTGCTGGCGTTCGCCATCCAGGTGCTGGGCTTCGGCGAGGTGCCGGACTGGATGAGCGTGACGGGCGCGCTGCTGGTGCTGGTGTGTGTCCTGGGCATGGGCATGGAGAGCCAGCTGCACCGAGCGGCGGCGCGCGTGCCTTAGAATGCTCATCACTTGGAGGACAAGAGGGCTCCGGTCAGGACTCGCCGACAAGGATAAGGAGGAGAACAGTCTCTAGTCGCGTCCTCGGTAACGCCGTCGAGACGAGGAGACTGGACTGGGCACCGGGATTAGCTATCGGGAAGTCCTGATCCTGATTAGCGCTGATCCTGTGACCGAGACAGGCCAGGAACCTGCCCTACTTCTTTTGCGATGATTGGCCGCCGCCCGCCTCGTTCTGCCAGTCTGCCACTGATGGGTTGCCATCCCTACAGCGCGGTTGCATTCTTGCAGGAACAAGGCAGAGGTTTCAGGGAGAACGGCAAGTCAAAATGAAGTTTGAATGAAGTCAAACTGATGCCAAAGGATGTCACTAGGACGTCAAATTGGCATCCTTAGACCTCATATGGCCTCACTTTGGTTTGGGTCCTCTCTGGGGTGCGGCCATGTGCAGGGAGTGGTGAATAGTTTTTGATAAGATGGCACTCTCTGCCCAAAGGACGTAACAAATACAACTTTTGACTTCTGCGCATGAAAGAAAGGGGTAAAGAAGTAAAACTAGCTCCATGAGTTTATAAATTTTACTTCAACAACTGTCTTGCTTACCAGCATTATCCAGATAAATATATATGTATGCATATAGAACAAAGGTATATTCATACATATATAAATACAGCATTTGTTATAAATTGGAAACACTATTTTCTAAAGTATATTGGTAAGTGGAAGTATTACAACATGGGTCAGCAGAGGAACTGTACCCTATGTGATACACAAAAAACACAACTAATAAATTGGCACATCATCTGTATATTTCACATATTTAAAAAAAAGAGAAAATATAATTACGTTTCACAGCCATCCATCGTTCCATTACTTTGTTTCCAAATGTACCAATCATTTGTTATAACACAATATAATGCATAAAATAATTAATTACCACAATTGTTTCATTATAAATAACAGTCTTCCATAAAAACAACAATAACAAAAAAACTCTTAAACACCACAGCACCTGCGCAAGTATGAACGCATAAGGTGGGTGGAAACCATTTTCCTGAGGCAATTACGAATCTTAAGGAAACAATCAGTATGGTGGGCAAGCGATTGTTGCTGTAGTTGATCAACTCTCTTCATTAATTAAATTTGAACTTATCCACCCTTAATGAACTTTAATCAATGTCAATCAATTCAAATATAGCATGTTTTAGAATGGTCATTTGTAATTTGGAGAGTGTGCATGTCAAAAGAAAATATTATTAACAAAAGCATACAGCAATGGACTCCTTCTCCTGTTTTGTAAGTCCTCATGGGAGAACCCCTGATAAAATTTCAGCTGAAATAAGCCTGTGGTTTGTTCACATTACATGAAGTCATGTTCTAAATTTCAATAACCTAAGTGGTTCTTTAAAAAAAAAATCTCCAAGATACCTGGGGATTAGATGCTGTCTTTGAACTGGGCATTGATAAATGACAAATTATCCTTTTGATGCACATGAGAGAATATCACAGGTTTCACATAAATCACATGAAATTTCTATAACCACTGAATACGACATGAATAGTTGTGACTAGCAAGAATTTCATATTCACGCTCAAAACCATACATTTGTCCATTTGTTTGCTACCAAAGAAATCCACTAACTTAAAACTAAAGCAGCTTCTACAGAAGCTACGACTGGCAATCACAACTGAATGTAGCACCTCAAGACTTTTACAGGAAAGAGCTACAAGTCAGTTCAAGTTCTACTAAGCTTAGGCTGAGGAGAAACTTGCTCTATTAGTCTCAGTCTAATAAGATAAGATATTCAGAGATTGCCTGAAAATTGCATAACATAAATGCCCTGCAACAAAAACACACTGTATGTATGAAATAAATAATCTAGCATGGCAACAGACAAAATCAACAACCAAGTTTTTTGAAAAGAAAGAAAAAATAATAAAAAAATAAAATAAAAAGAAACAAACAAATATTAAATGGCACATGTTACAGATAAAGCAGAAGCTGAACAAATAAGCACTGTCTAGGAATATAATAATTACACGAATAGGAATGTTCTGAGAGTATTCATGTTCTAGCTGCAAGTCAGTGCCGTGTCACAGTGCTGGAGGATAATATTCAACATGATGAAACAAACCGTGGATAAAACAACAGCAAAATAGGCAGACAATATAAAAAGGACTAGCACCAAATTCTGTTTGGTAATTAAAGATGGGAACATACAAACAAACAGCCATTCATAAGTATGTTAAAGACGCAAGGGAGATAAAAATTTATTCAAAACATAAACATACACGTTCCCTTGAGGTCAATTTTAGTGATGCTTCAAAGGTAGAAACAAATGGTCAAATTGCAATGTTGTGAGACTCATAAATATATGGCTGGCTTCCCTGTAAAAATAATTACCAATGACTTGGTGCAAAGCACCAGCCAGTGCGTTCTGCATGTTATTTTAACTTCATAAATTTTTTTCTGTTTGTTTGATTAGATTTTTTTTAAAAAGGTTGTTGGGAAGATTAATGTTAGAGAGTTGTTCATACTGTCCACTAGATGAGAGTGCCACATTACATATAAGGAAGAAATAAAATTAAGATATCTAGAAAGAAGAAAATAGGAAGAAAACAAAAAAGACTACATTGGAACATGTAATGCACATCTGAACAACCCCTAAAATGTTTTACAAAAACAACAAACTTTAAATTTTTTTTCTGAAAAATATTTTTAAGAAAAATTAAACATTTTTCCTCACTGCAACTTTTTACGCAGTTCGTTGTGATTCAACCAATCTAATCTTTCGATTGCGACAGATGCTAGTCCAGCCATGTACACAAATGATTCAGTGGTTATACATACATAAATCTAAATTTACAAGTTCACATCTTCAGCGTATTTACAAATCATCTTTTGATAACCAAATTAAAATATGAGATGTGTTTTACAATAACACAGGGCTATGGTTAAAAATGACAGAGCATAGATCTCATGATAAGACAACGCCCCATACAAGAAAACACATAGTATTGACGTGGACTAAATCATCACTGAAAATCACAAGCAGAATGTTGTCTTGGTAGAAATTGGTCCATTTTGCAGGCCAAAACCCAGAGGGTCCTGACATTCAGCACAATCACAGAAAAGGCACCAATACACAACTACTGAAATACACTTGATACAGTAACTCACAAAACTCCTCCGTACTTTGTGGTTCGTTTTCACACTATACTCTCCTTCTCACCTGGCAAATCACTGTATCCACTGTTCATTCCTTTTCTCAGTGATGTTTCACTGGACCGTAAACCATTTCCATTGAAAAGTCCATACAACCAGCTTTTTATTGAACCCCGAACATCTGCCTTCTTCCCATCTCCAAAATAAGTAGGATTACTGGCAGCAGCGGCAGGTTTTAATTGTTCTAATGATCTCCATCGTTTAGTTGGGACAATCACAGTACCACGAGGAACAAGAGAGTCTGCTGGCGCTAATAATGGCACTCTAACGTCTTCTGAGCTTGCCCCAGCTACCCGGCTACCGGGGTTGACCCCAGAAACAGCACCATTTGGAAATGTGCGATGATTGTTTTTGTGCAAAGGAATATCTGACACAGGACGCACGCGGTCAAATATATCGCAATGTTCAAGAGAACGAGTCCCTCTCCGGCGCACCTGGGAAAAAAAAAGAATTTAATGTTTATTATTAGTTTACAATAATCAAAATGTTATATGAAATAGGAAGACTAACATACTTGAGAGAGGGGAGGCTGTCTTTTCGGTAGCTGCTCTAATTCTGTTTCCATAGGGAAAGGATCAAGTGACCTAGACTCCCTGACTGGACCATACTTCAATAGTTCAATTTCATTCTCATCGTCACTGCCACTAGTGTAACCAGCCGTTGCAGAGGAAGAGGCAACCGAAGAAAGAAGCCTTCTTGGTCTTGGTTGCTGCTGAGAACACTCATCTGTCCTTGGTTCCACTAATGACTGAAGTACACAAAGAAAGGAGCATTGGAAACTAGTGCAAAAAATTAAAGCAGAAGTGTTTTTAAAGGTAATGCTGTTCAATACTTACTTGACTATTAAGGGTGGATTTTGATGACACATCCCCTCCGCTTGAAATCTGAACTCTACGTAAGGGACGGCCAGAAGGGCTATTGTTGCTGCTGTTGTTAAGACTTCCCGCAACAACTCCATGGAGGTTTCCAGAGGTACTCCCCAGAACACCTCCCAGGATGCTTCCCCCAGAGACTGCACCCAAGCCAAGGGTAGAAGAGCTGTCTACATCTTGACTGTTTCCTCTGGGAACACTGGATTGCCTGCGACTGCCTGCCCCTGGTATGCCCCCAAAACCACAAAGTGAAGCATGTCGAGAATCTGTGTTAAGCCTTGGACTACGGCGGGGTCGACAGAAAAGAGGTGCTAAATCTGCAATATCCACCTGGAATGTGAAAGAAAATACAATAAGCAAAGAAGGTTAATGATTTAAGTTTAACACCAAATTTACCAAAGTTTTACAAACCTCTCGTTTCTTGATAGCTTTATCAGTGGCCCCAGTCAACCAGTAAGTCATGACTTCCCCCTTTCCTTTCATGTGTACAAGGCCACGTTCCTCAGTAATATAACCCCCAACTTTATCAAGAGCACCCTTGCACTGAGGACTGATGTGGATTTTAAGTGCCTCCCCATTGGATTCCATTCTTGATGCCGTGTTGACAGTGTCTCCGAAGAGGCAGTACCGTGGCATGGTTAATCCTACAACTCCTGCTGCCACAGGCCCTGTTGGAAAATTGCAAGAATGCTACATTTCCGACTTTGAGAGTACCAACACAATGACTAACCAAATAAACAAACATTTCTTACCAGTGTGAATGCCAATCCTGAGCTTTAGAGTGTCATTTGGACGATGAGCAATTCTATGGTTTTTGACAGCGTCTAGTAATTCCAAAGACATTGAAGCGATTTCCCCAGCATGGCTATCGTTTTTTAGAGGTAAACCAGAAACCTAAACAATCAAAGGGTGGAATAGTACAATTATTAATGAATCAAAAAATGGGGAGAATTGAGAAAAGTGAATGCAATGTGAGTTCACTTACCACCATGTAAGCATCCCCGATGGTTTCTACTTTGTACACATCATACCCTCTGATAATCCTGTCAAATAATGTGTAGAGATCATTCAAAAAATTGACAACCTGCAAATTAGAAAGAAAGTTTAAAAGAATGATCAATAAAACAAATGAATAATTTAAGCGGTGAATTCTTAAATAGTGAGGTATTGATACCTGAAGTGGAGTGCTCTCTGCTGACATTGCAGTGAATCCTACAATGTCACTGAAATAAATTGTTACTAAATCATAAGATTCTGGTTCAACACCAATTCCTCGTGTCAAGCGATCAGCAACAGGCCTGAAAATGCAGATTAGAACATCAAAAGTTGGCCAAGGATGAATAAAAATGATCAACCATAAAAACTTACGCTGGAAGCATTCTATGAAGTAAGTCTTCAGTTTTTTGTTTCTCTTCAAACAACTGACGAGTTCTATCTGTCACTAGATCTTCTAAATTATTGGCGTATTTCTCCATCATATCCATCATTTGATCAATTATATTACGATATCTGGGGAAAGGGGTAAAGAAGAGTAAGTAGGAGTTGTATCTTCAATCAAACGAATGATAATTCAAACCAATACTCACTTGCCCTCCTTCATTTCCTTGAGACGGGAGCGAATACTTGGAAAATCTGGTCTTTGTTCAGGAATTTCCAACCAACAGTCTTGCATACATTGCAGAATATACTCTGGACACTCATTTTCACCATCTCTTAGCATATCAACATCTGGTCGGTAAGGTCCACTGCTAGGTGGATTTTTAACAAGATCAACAATTTCTGGAAATAGTAGAATATGTACAGTGTTATTAAAAAATCAAATAAGGCTTCCCATGAAACTTACTTAAACTTAGTCATACACTTGTAAATAAAAAATACCTTTAGGTTCCATGTTATGTATGCCAAAAGGTCCATGTCTACCTAGAATTTCATACAATATTATGGCAAATGCATAAACATCTCCTTTTTGAGTCCCCCTAATTGATAAACAACTATCTCTTAGAAGTTCTGGAGCTTTCCAAAACTGATCTGTAAAAACAGACAGAATGAATTTTGGTACAGGAATTTTTGAATGGAGTAAAATAACAGGCAAAAGGATGCACACTACTTACTTCGAAAATACTGGTGCTCACCAATACTACCACTTTCTGCACTGTGCCGTAACTCATGTAAGCCAAAATCTGTTATTTTAAGCACCCATCTACTTGTCACAACACAGTTAGATGATTTAAGATTTCCATGACAAACCAAAACCGAGCTATGGATGTACAACATTCCCTTAATGAGATCATGAACCAGAGAAGCAATAAATAATTTATCCAATTTGATGTCTTCATTCTCAACGATATCCTGCAAAAAATTGTCAAAAAATAAACATTGTTAAATGAATAGACAGCTAGTAGTACTGTTATCATGAAATGTCCCACAATACTCACATACAAACTACCCTTGGCACAATAGTCAGTGAGGAGAAGAATACGCATGGGCTCAATTACAGCTCCAAGAAAAAGATTGATATTGTCATGTCGAATTTCTCTGAGAAGTCTCATTTCCTTCATTATTTCTCTGGAGATGTCCTTCTTTTTAGAAAACTTCAGTTCCTTAATTCTTACAGCAACACTTCTATACTGGGCAGTCGCAGCAAATACTTGAGGACCATATCGGGACTCATAGGAGGTCGCACTTACAAGACTGAGCTTGCTAGGGGAAGAAACCATATCTGTTCCGAAATACCCTCGAATTTCTGCAGGATCCACTTTCCAGAGTAGTCCCTCAATTTCCTGCTCTATTTTCCACTTTCTGTAGATGCTGACTGTAACAACTATTGCACAAAACAGCAAAACTGCTAATGTACCTGCAGCTACCACACCTCCTTGGTGAGAATGATCCTTTGGGCACAATTCATTGTTGAAACCACAATTCGGTTCATCATCTGGCTTGCGACCTCCAGGCCAATCAATTTGCATATTTGGTGAGTTGAGTTTGTATTCCTAGGAAACAAGAGGCAGAGAAGTCAAAATAGTGTTGATTAAACAGACAGCATAGCGCTGTCTTCAAAAGGTAGATACATACTGTTGATTTTCCTTGATGAAATTGTCCTACTGGTACCATGTGATAGTTGCAGGAAAAGTTTTCTAACCGAAGGTTGAAAGATTTCAGAGCAAGGACAGAAAAGTTGCCCTCTGAATCACCTCTCTCATCAATTTTAATTGTGGCCCCAGTGACACCTTAAAGGAGAATGAAAATTGTTAGCTTCATCTTGGTAAGGCTGAATATATAAGCAAATAAAATGAGAAATTCTTACTTGTGTACGTCTGATTCCTAATGTTTTCAATAATACGTGTGCCGTTGCTAGCGATTCTGTCAATATCCTCATCAGTAAGAGATCCTTTTTCCTCATGTTCTCTTAACAATTTATCCAACGCTCTTGCATAGAGCTTGACTGAGTCATATAGGTATGCAGCATAAATAGATACAAACTATAAAAAAGAGTCATTCATTACAACATGAACTAATAAAAATTCAATTTACCAAGTAGCCGTTTAGAAAAAAAGAGATACCCCATACCTTATTAAAATTAACATTCGTAAATATTTGAGGCATTTTGAAATTAAATGGATCTTTGGTATTAAAAGATCTAACTTTCTCAGTGAAATCTACATAGCTGTATGCTGGTGGGGTAGACACAATAACCAGCAAGGATTGTGCCTTTCTCAAAGAGTTGGCATCAAACATGCAGTTATTTTTGTGAAAATCCTGCGGTTCTGCAAAAGCCAAACATTTTTAAATATTATCATACTGCAAAGTGGTAATCAACATATCTCATGAAATTCACCCACTTACTCCACAGGTATTTTGTAGCTTCTTTTGCTGAATATGTCATCATGTCAACATGAATAACCATGTACTCTCCAAAATCGAAAAGTTGCAAAGTCTGCATGGCATTCATCAAGTCAATCAATAGGCCAGGGTTGCCCAAAAATACATATACTGAAAGAAAGACACATAATATTTAAGACAACATCCCATCAACTTTTTGGCTGTTACACTTGAAATAAATTTATTGTACTTACTGCGGGTGTTGTTTCTTGTTTTTTGTACAATTTTATACCAATAATCTGCTTGACAGCACTTTAGATGTTCTTGACAGCATTTATGAGTATCTTGCACTTGAACTTTTTCCTGGACAGTCATGTTGTTGTGTGCAGCCTGATCAGAGAGTGAGCTTGCTACAGTGCTCCAAGATTCTTCATAGAGCACTGTAAACTTTGCCCAGTGGTAATAACGGAGCAATGAGATCAATGATTTAGTAACCTACAGTAAAGGAAAGGAAAAGAATAATTCAAAGATTAGAACAGATTGATATATAAAAAGAAAGCAATAGTCACAGAGCAGGAAAATATTTTCCCAAATCACCTGAATATCTGGGGGTTCCGTCCGCGCAAAAGTGGAGGCCATTGATGCCTTATTGTCAGAACATTTCTGAAAATTAAGAGAACACATAATTTTTTCATTTCAGGCGAATTAATCAGAACAGTAATAGTCAAAGGACCACTTACATAACTTATCATAGGTATATTCCTAGACTGGGCAACAATGGCCTCCACATGACATGACCCTTCGGGTCCAATAAACGCCGACACTCCATCGCACAGCATGTCCACGATGCAGCGGGTAGTTGTAACAGTTTCGCCACGAGTGTCATTCCAGCGAAGATTAAGGTGTACTCCAGGAAGCAAGTATGGATCATTGTTGATCTAAAAATAAAACAAACAGAAAGGCATGATTTAAAGGCAGAAGTTTGCACATTCTTGAGTTGAGTCCCAAGGAAAGCAACGCCACCTCACCTCCTCAAGGGCCATGGAGATGGCGCCCGACACAGCGAGACCCTGGCGGTCCGTGAGCTCGCCCTTGACGGCCGTGAGGTAGCCGATGGTGATGTTCTTCTTGTGCCTGGGAGTGAAGGGCCGCAGACCCCAGAACGAAGACCTGGGGCCGAAACTGAGGCCAAGGGACGTGGACAGGGACGTGGACAGGGCCGGGGCCTGTGGGGCGGGGGCGGGCTGCGGGGAGGCCACGTCCAGCAAGCAGGCCAGCAGGCAGCACAGCGCGAGCAGGACACCCACCGGCCCAGGGCTCATGGCACCCACCCCTCACCTCAGAGCCTTGGACACCAGGGTGGGGGCGGTGGCGACGGCAGTGGCGGCAGTGGATGGCGATGGCGGGCGTCGGAACAGACGCTGCAGCGCGGCCGGCGCGGCCGGGGGCGGGCACAGGCAGGGGCAGGGGTCGGCCTCAGGCTCAGAGGTGGCCAGCGCAGCCAGCGCCATGCCGCTCGTCCGGGCAGTCCGGGCCCCTCGCATCATGCCCACGCCCGGACGGACGGCCCGGACGGACGGCCCGGACGGACAACCCGGACGGACTCCGGGCTGGAGACGCGCTCACAGCGGAGCGGGCGGAGCCCCGGGCGTCTCCAGGCCGGAGCACCAAGCCCGGAGCCCAGGCCGGTGGCCTTCCCTTCACTGCAACAGAGAGGAGAAACAAGCCAGGTTAGCAGTGGCCGCGCACTTCCGCGAGGCCAGGAGCACACGCGCGCACGCACGCACGCACACACACGCGCGCACACACACACACACACACACACACACGCACACACAGACGCGGATGAGAGGGGAGGCGGTCATGAACTTGTCCTGCCACCATGATTCAGCCTAAGACGAAGGTGACGCGCCAATATTGCACGGTTGCAATTAACGTTAAATTCCCTCCCTCATTCCACGAAACAATTTTCGAGGCACACCTCCGCACTAGATCGGCACTAGGATGCTCTGCGACGCTCTGCTGGACCACGACGCCAATTACTCGACCGACGGCGAGGCTGGGCGAGGCTGGGCGAGGACGAGGATGAGGACGAGGAACGGCCCGCTGCAGCCCGGCCGAAGGCGAGGCAGCCGTCTGTACGAGACGACACAGCGCGGGGAGAGAAGGGGCGAGCCGAGCGAAGCAGCGGAGCACAGCGGAGCGAATCTGTTATCTCGCCGTAGCCGTACTTGCGAGCGGCGTAGCGGCCACGCCGGGCTGGGCCTTGTGGACTTCCACTTCCACGCCGTGGAGCCGCACGAGCCGCGCCCTGGAGCCGCGGCTCGCTATTTCTAGCCACCCGGATGCAAACGGCCCTCTGCAAGTTCCGCGGAGCCAGCCAGACCCTCGCCCTGGCGACGGCGACGACGCGGCCCCCGGCCCCGAGTCCTTCCCTACCCTCGGCGTCGAGGGGCGCTGCCCGGCCGCCCGGCCGCCGCGTAGACGTCACGGGCTTTGTTGTTATCAAAGGGGCGATAACGTCGAGCAGAGGCCTTCATGGTCGGCCCAGTGGGGCGGCCGGGCCGGCAGGCCAACGCCAGGCCAACGCCAGGCATTCCGGCAGTGCAGTGCCATGGCAGTGCGGGGCCCCGAGCTGTTCAGCGAAATGTGGACGCCCTGCCCCGCCGCGCCCTGCCGCGCGAGCAATTGAATTCAAATAAAGCATGCAAGCGCGCCTCGGCTCCGTTCAGTAAGGCGCAGCAGCAGGCCGCGCGGCCCGCTCGGTCCGCTCGCCGGTCCGCGGACGCCCTAGAGAACGGCGTCTTCGTCCTCGCCGCTGTTGCAGATGCGGCGAGAGACAGGCGGCAGCGCGACAGCGACGGGACCAGGACGGAACAGGCAGCGCGTCTACACGTCGCGATAAGATAAGCTCTCCGCTGCGCCACACCTGGCTTGGCTTGCCTGGCTTCACTCGCGATGGGGTAAAAATAATGCGCGCGAGAAAGTCCCGAAGAATACCCGCGATGCCGCAGCGTGCCGCAGCGTGCCGCAGCGTGCCGCAGCGTGCCGCAGCGTGCCGCAGCGTGCCGCAGCGTGCCGCAGCGTGCCGCAGCGTGCCGCAGCGTGCCGCACCAGGACCAGGACCAGTGGTCCTGGACCACTCGGGTGCAAATTTGGCTCCCATTTCGGGCGCTACCCCTTGGGGCACTTTGGGACCGACAGTACACAACGTGCTGTGCGAATGTGCGCGCAGCGCAGACGCTCGCTCTCTCTCGCACGTAAACATGCCGGCCGAAGGTGCGAGCGAGATAGCTGCGAAAGAGAGCCCGCGCCGCGAGATAAAGAGGAAGGCAAATGTAGTAAATCTTGGGCGAAAAAAATATTGCGCCGCTTTGAGCGAGCGACTGACACGACGCGGCTTCGCGGCTCCACCCACGCGCGTGCACGCCGCGAGGCGGTGGCGGCTTGGTGGCGGCGCGGCCGGCCCGGCGTGGCTCGCCGGCAGGGAAGACGGCGTTGGAAGGCGTTTGAGCGGCAGACAATGACTTCGGCCGAACGCGCCAGTCACAGTGCGAGGCGCCACGCCCGGCCCGGCCCGGCCAAGCCCGGCCCGGCCCGGCCGCGCGGGGGAGGCTGGGGACGCTTTGGAAGGCAAATGGCACATGGCACACGGCACGGCCGCACCGAGACTGCTAGTCTCCGCGACATTCCGAGAGTCATTCTCGTCGCTCTTTCTCTCTCGCTCTCACGGGCGCCCCGTATAGGTGCGAGAGAGACGGAGTGACGCCACGGTGACGCGACCGGCTTCCGAAACGCGTTGGTCCCGCTGCGCTCTCCGCCGCCCTGCTAGACTCCACTACGCCCGCTGTGTACACTCACGGATCTCATCATGCCGCGCGCACTGTTAGGGCCGATATCTGAAACACACAAACAACAACATTAGGCGGGTAGGTGGCGCGGTAGGCTTCGCGGCATCATGGGGCGACGCTAATCGCCAGGCACATCAACGACGATGGCATGGCGGCATGGCGGTGAGGCCCGGCAGTCCCGGCCCCCCGGCCCCGTCTCCGAAAGGCTTCAGCTCCTTCAGCCCGAGAGGCCGGCCGGCCCGCCGAGCACGCGTGCGCGCGGGCGGGCCTTGCTGCGCCTTGCTGCGCCTTGCTGCGCCTTGCTGCACCGCCAGTTCCATGTTCCATCCCTTTTGTTTTTGTCCTTGTCGCTGGCGCCCCCGTCCCGCCCCCGTTCGCGGCGTTCGCAGTGTTTGCAGGGCAAACTGGGCAAACCCGCCCCGACCCCGACCTGACCCGAGCCGAGCGCCGACCGCGCCCTGGCCTGGCGGCACTGGCGGACGCTCGGGAGGACGCCACACTACGCCGCACCACGCCGCCACGGCCTCAGTCACGCCGTCAACACCACCAGGGTCCAGCCGAGCGATCTCGTCGCCGTGTCTCTCTCGCACTCGTGGGGCGTTTCGAGGGCGCAATGTAGACAGCGACGAGACGACTCATGGCTCGCTTCAGGGAAGGGAGCCTGGCAGACGGTGCTGGCGCTTCGTGAGGGGAACATAGAACGCACGGCGCCGGCCGCAGCGAGCCGCAGCGACCCGCTGCCAGGTCCAGTCAGCACCTCCGCGAACTGGATCCGCCCCGCCCGTTTCAATATTGAACCACCCTCCCCCTTCCGGCGTCTCGTAAGACGGGCGGGGCGTGGCGGGGCGTGGCGGGGCGTGGCGGGGCGCACCGCTCGCCTTTCACTTGAATCAACAGGCAAGAGTGATGAGGCCGTCGCCGCGGCCGCCGCGTGCCCCTTGGTGCCCTGAAGCCCCCGCGCGCACGTGCCCGATCCGCGCGCCGCCAGCGCGCCACGCCTAGAGCCCAGCCCCTCCACCCCCTCGCACCTCGCCGACTCTTTTCCCAATTTTTCCGCTCGTGCCTGCAGCCTTGGCGGCCCTGCACGCCCCGCGGCTCCTCCGGGGCCGCGCCGTCCTCGCCGTCCTCGCCCTGGTCGGCAAACACGGCGCCGCCACGCCGAGCTGCCCGAGCACACCAAGTACACTGTGCCGGCGTCGCCGAAACGTAAAGCACTTGACCCCCGGTGCACCTGGGGCTCGGCTCGACCTGGGGCTCGACCTAGGGCTGCGCGCGGCGCAGCGGGCTGCTTGAATTAAATGCTCGGCGGGGACGCCAGTACGGCCAGTACGCCAGGCAGCGGGAGGGTCATATGTCGTTGAGTGGACTTGATTCGATTGGTCCAATTGACGTGCAGGCCGGCTCTACGCGGCACGGCGCACTCCCCCTCCCCTCCCCGCCTCTTTCGCTTCGCGATGCACCCGCCGGGCGCTCAAGCACGCGGCGGAGGGTCGCGACGTGTTTGCTGCGTTCCCAGAGGATCCCAGCGAGGCCTCAGGTGGTCAAAAATTGGCCCTTTTGGGCGATGCCCCGCTTCCCTTCCTGTCCCCTTTCGGACAACACTCTGGAGAGGGATCGCATTCCTCCTTCGGCAGGCTGCGGGCGCGATGCGCGATGCGGTGCGCGGCGATGCACGATCCCAGAGATTCCGAGACGCCCCGTTCAGTCAGAGTGGCCGCCCGATCGGCCTGGCCTATCCGCCTTCCTATCGCCGGGCCCACTGGGTCCGCGCGATAAGCCTGCGAGCCATCCACACATCGCCCAACTGGATTTAAAGACTTCAAGGTCATCGAGACACGCGCGCCGACATGTGTCATGTCCTGGGCCTGGGACCGGGCCAGGTTCGTTCGATAGAGACGAGTGGTTTGTTTCAAGATCCACGAGTGCAACGTGGGTGCGCACGCAAGAGCCTGGACAGCGATTCGACTACACTTTACCGGTGACTCCCCACCCCCTTTTCCCTCTTTTACCGTTTCCCTGCATCCGCGCCTGGGCCTGAAAGTACGAAGGTGATTCTATGAGGATTACAGGTCGTTTCGAGGCGCCCCTTGAGCGCGAGCCACGGCCTTAGAAAAGCCGTCACGCTCTCACACCCACTCACACATGCACCGACTTACGGGGATGGTCCCCGCCCCCTCCTCTTTGATCCACGTTCACGTTTTCGCTTTGGTGGTGGCGGCCATAAACTTCCTTCACCGATAGTCACAAACACTGAGCCCCGCGGCCTGCACTGCAGGCTGCTCCGACCAGTGCTTCCGTGTGCGTCTCTCTCGCACTCCTGGGGCGTTCCGCAGGGGTGCGAGAGAGACAGACCGCCGAAAGCACTGTTCGGAAAGGGCCTGCTGCTGGCACCGTGGCAGCAGCGTGTAGCAGCGTGTCCGTCAGGCCCTGTCCCGCCGTCCCTGTTCGTGGCCCTCAAAAATCGCGCTTAGGGAGCACGAGCATACTGAAAATGGACAAAGGGCTCAGAAATGAGTACCGCCCCTGGTGAAGATGAAGATGCCGACTTCAGGAGCATTTTCTTCGCGCAGTTTTTGGTCACAAACAGGGACGCGTCAGGCCGTCCGTCAGGCCGTCAGGCCGTCCACGTCAAAGAGATAGGCCCGCCCCCACTGCCCGGCCAGGCTGCTAGGCCCGCGCAGCCCGCGCAGTGCGCACGCGGCCACCACATGGAGCAGTGCCGCAGCGTGCACGTCGCCGCCGCGGCCCGCGCCTCTCAAAAAGCGGCCCGCAGTTTGCGCACTTCAAACGGAAGGCGGGGCGGGGAGGCGGGACCTTTGGGCACCGCGGCAGCGCCTCCGACATCAACTATTCGCAAGTTATGTGCGTGGCGGCGCGGCGGCGGCGGTGGTGTGGCGGTGGCGCGGCGGGCGCGGCGGGCGCGGCTGGCGGGGCGCCAACTGCAGAGGACGAGAGGCTTGGTACCCACTACACTACCCGGTCGATGCAGAGCGTGCAAAGGATCTGCAGGCTGATTCCGAACAGTGCTTTCGCCGTGCTGTCTCTCTCGCTCTCCCGGCGCGTCCCTCATGGTGCCGCGGTGCCGCAGGGGCGCGAGAGAGACAGCGGCGATCCAGAGGCAGACCACGGCAACCATTCACCACCCGTCCGGCCCCACGCCCCTCTGCACCCCCCGCAGTCACGCAGAGCGGGCCTGCACCGCGGGACCGCGAGGAACCGAACCGAGGCGGTGGAGGTGCTAGATGCTGTTGCCTTGAAGTGAGCGGAAAGCCCGTATAGACACGTCGTCTATTTCGGCCGGCCCGTGTACCGTGTGCCGGCAGACTCCAAGCAGACCCTCCGCGTGCCCGGCCTGCACGGCCACGTGACGTCGGCGTGGGTGGCGGCAGACCGAGAGGCGTTTCCGTCGCTCTGTCCCTCTCGCACCCATACGGAACGCCCCATGAGTGCGAGAGAGACATATCGTCGGAAGCGACTCACGGAGTCAGTCTGCTGGGCCAGCGTCGCCAGCGTCCGGGCGCCACGATGCAGTGCTGCCGCTTGAACACGACGCAGGGGCGTGTAGGCAGCCCGCATCGCCCGCAGACTGACTCCGAGAGTCGCTGACGTTGCTCTGTCTCTCTCGCACTCATGGGGCGTTCCGTATGGGTGTGAGAGAGACAGAGCGACGAAAACGAGCGAGCGCGCCAAGGACAAGGGCGGCTCAAGGACGGCACGGGACGCGCGGCCTCCCCCAGCTCCCCGTCGAAGGCAGAGCGAAGGCGGAAGGGAAGGCCGCGCTCCCGTCCGCCAGCAAGCGAGCAAGCGAGCCGAGCGAGCCAAGCGGGCTAAGCGCCGCGCAGCGTAGCGCAGCGCAGTGGTGATCTCAGAGCAATTACAGCCGATTGACACAGCGAGGCAGCGAGGCCCTCGGTAAGGCGCCGCGCCGCAGCAACGGCGTGAAGCAGTTGTACTTTCAGCCCGCGTCACCGAGAGGGGGGTCACTTCAGGAAATAGGTTCAAAAGAACCTCGTAAACGACCGCCGGTACACACAGCGCACTGTTAAAAACAGAAGTTGAGCGGTTGAGCGGCACGCCGCCGCCGGCGAGAGGTCTCTCGCACTATTAGATACTCCCGTATGTGTGCGAAAGGGACAGGCCCAGCGGGCCTGGAGGGCGTTGCAGGGCCGCCTCGCGCTAGGGCCTGCTAGGGCGGCCACGCCCCACGCCAGGCGGCAAAACAATGCGCCGACGTCGACGTCAGGGACTGGACGGAGGGCCGCCGCCCTCCGCCGCAGAAAGCCACAACGCGTTGTGCCAACTGTATTACGCAGCGGCCGAGCATCGCCATCGCGCTTCGCTTCGCCAAGGGCTTTGGCTTCGCGTGGCTTGGCGCGGCTTGGCGTTGGTTCGCGCATCCAGCCGAGTCGGCCCGATCCAACGCCACCGACACCAACAAACAGGCCGACGGGCCGATGGGCCGACGGACCGCGTGGATTCCAGCATTCGACACCGCCACCGCCGGCGAGATGCGGCCAGATTCGACAGTGTGGCGGCTTGGCTTGGACCAGCAACGCCCAGCACCGCCCAGCACCGCGCACTGGCGGCGACACCCACGTCCCACGTGAGGAGACACTGGAAACCCGAACGCGCGTCGCGCGCGGGACGCGGGCTGGCCACGTAGGCAGTGAGGCAGGCAGCCAGGCGGTGCCACAGAGTGCCCTGCCCGCCACAGTGTGCCACACGCAGCAAGACAGCAAGGCCCGCTGAAAATAGCCGCGCCACTTCCATATGGGTGGACTCCATACCGTGAGCGTGAGCACCCGCCTTCCCCTCCCGCAGGACCCCGCCTCGTTACAAGCAGGTATGGCCCCAAACTCGGCGCCCGGCCCTTGCCGCGGCGGCACGGCGGCACGGCGCGGTCATTTGCATGACAAGTTGAACCTGGTTGAACACAGCACAGCGCGGCCCCGCGGCCCGCGCCAAGGACAGCGCCCAGACGCCAAGGCCTCGCGCGGGGGGCCCCGTCAGGGACGACGCGGACCCCACCGGGGGCTCCAGCTGACGAG